CACACACACACGCACTCATACACACACACACACGCACTCATACACACACACACGCACTCACACACACACACGCACTCATACACACACACACGCACTCATACACACACAAGCACTCATACACACACATACACACACATGCACTCATACACACACATGCACTCATACACACACATGCACTCATACACACACACTCACACACACACACGCACTCATACACACACACACACACACATGTACACGCACACAAACACACTCATGCACACACACGCACGCACACACACCAGATTTATGATCTAATATTTTCCACCTGGTAACTGAAGTCTACCACTCATTCACCGGTCGTGTAAACGGATCATTTATTAACCGCTGTTCTGGAATTCATTTGTGTTTGGATGAAAACTGCTACATGAAGATGAACACATGATTCACACGCTCACTAACGCTTATAGATGCCAGGTTTTATAACAAATGAAGCCAAGGAAACCAACTCAAAGCTAACAGGTTTCTTTGCTCTAACTTGATGTTTTTCTTTAAACTGACAGTTTCTAACAGTCCTACCTGCTCTGGGCGGACGGTAATTACGACATCCACTCGAAGGTCGACGGTTGAGGTAGAGGTGGCAGAGGTCGGACCACAGGCAGCAGTAAAAGAAACTGGTCACGTCATACAGCCAGTGGGAATACCCAGGAATACGAGGGGGCGTCCTGTACGGAGGCGCCCCCCAGTCGTGAGCCCTGTCTGGGGTGCTGCCACCAACCGAGTCCCACGTCAGAACAAGATCTCCAACGCTGTCATAGCAGCACTGCTGCCCTGATCCATCACTGGGACTGTAAACAAGGAGGGAAGCCTCATTACGGAACAAAAAGCTAGTTTTAAACGTCCGTGCTTGTTGTCTCTACCTGGCCTGAACCGATCGAACGCAGTGGACACTCCTGGGGTGATACGTGCACACACTTCCTCTCTCGATGTCACACGTGTAATCCGTCTGAAATAAAAACAGGCCGGTTTGTGGGGGTAAGACAGCGAATCAGAGCTCCGCCTCTTGGCTGAACTCACGTGGAATCGTCCTGAATCAGCCCGAGCTTGTGCCAGAGTGCAGGGACAGTCCATGAGCTTGTCCAGGAAGTTGGGGAGCTTCGACTCCAGAGCGTCCCACTGCAGACACCTGTCTCGCGCCCAGGCTGAAGAAGCCTGCTCCAGGTGCCAGGCCAGGATGTGAGCGCTGCTCCAGAGTCCCTGCACGTTCCTGAGCAACACACGGCTATGTACTTTAGTTTAAACTTCTATGTGTGGTTTATAAAAACAGTAACAGCTCAGTTCAGTCAAACTTAGAATAATGTGTGTTTTTATTAGCGCTAGACAGCAAAATTTAGTGTTTTTATAAGCTTTGACACACCCAGAGGAGACAAATTCATTTTGTCCAACAAAAAGTAGAAAAAAACAAATGAATTAATTAACATTTAAACATAAAAAAGCAGCATGTCTCCAATTTCCTGGAAGCATATAGTGAAATAATTTAGTCAATGAAATATCTCAGTGACTTCTAGTCTGGATTATAATGAATATAAAAATATCCACTGAGGTGGGTATCCGTGATGGTGCTGAGGCCATCAGGCAGAGATGCGGTGATGATTGTGATGACATCAGGCTGTGGTGATACTGTAACGGTTGGGCTGTAAATGGTAATTTACTATATTTATCACTATTTTAAAAGGAGACAAGGCAGTTTTGGCTTGCTTTTAGCGCCCCCTGGTGTCTGTTTAGTAGAACCAAAAATGAAACTTATCGCCTCGCTGAGTGTCCTTTAATGCCTTAATCTAACTAATGAAATGTCTCCTCAGCCTTCATTAGTGTCTACCGGAGTGATTCGTCACCAAATCAAACAAACCAGCTGTGTTCATGATCTAAAGCATGCAGGAAACATGCTGGAAGCAGACTGCAGTGCCAGGTATGTCAGCTGTGTCTGCCAACAACCCAAACCGGCACTCTGAAGTTGCAAATGCAGTCTTCTGGCCACAGAGGGCGGTGGGGGTCTGAGTCACATTTCATTAACCATGTAAAGGGTAGTTTTAATACATACTGGCTCAAGAAAATGATTTCAGAATCTGAAAAAGTTGTATAGTTTGGCTGTAAAAATTTAAAAACATACATTTTTATTTGAACTTTATTTCATTACTGAAATTAAACCAGCTGCATTTGAATTTCGTTTTTTTCTTAACAACAACGACTCTTGCTAAACCTTCAGCAGGCTGCATTTTAAGCATCTGCAACATAGTGGAGTCTTAAGGTTGGTTTATGCTTGACGCGTCCGCGAGGTCCGCACGGCTCCACGCGGCGAAATTGCGTCATTTTAACAACCACGCCCCTCCACACGGCCCAAAATTTCCGCACCGCGCACCTAGGAAATTTTCTAACCACGCGGACGGTCGGACGCGGAAAAACATGGCGGACTGGCAAGAACTAGTATGGCAGAGGTTGGTAAATACAGACATTTGTATGATTCAGCTCTCAGAGATCACCGTGATCAACATGTTGTTAATAATTCTTGGAGAGAAATAGCTCGCAGTGTCGGAAAAGACGAGGACGCTGTTAAAAATGCTGGAATGCCATGTTGTAAACAGTAATTTCTACTTCTACTATGGTGTAGTGTTGGATGCATGCCGTAAAGCTCCATGCTGCCCCCTACAGTTTGGGAGAATATTGGCTCACCGCAGAGACGAGCCGCATGAACCATAAACGCTGCGAGCTGTGAAGCGCGTTCCAGCCGCGAGCCGCATCACCAAGCAGAAAGTGAATGCGTCAAGCATAAACCAAGCTTTAGCAACCTACGGGTTTGTGGTATAATCGGTACCTTTCTCCCTCTGACTTAGAGCCGGCTGTGATGCGGATATTCCCCAGCTCCCACTCGGAAAAGTTCCTTTTGAGCTCAGGAGGAGTGAAGCTGAAGTCTCCTGTGTTGGGATGGTTCCTGCTGAGGGAGTACAGGAAGCTCATCTCAGCCTGCAGAGCAGACGCTCCATCTGCTGCGCTCCCGCTGACCTCTCTGTAACCCCACAGCTCCACATTGACCTCCTCTGCTTTGAGTAAAGAGCGGTTCCACGTCATCCGAAGCTGTCCTGCTGTGTTCGGGGTGCCATAATTCTGCCACTGGGTTGTGTTCATCAGGGTGACTTCAGGAGCAGATCTACTGGGATGGACTAAAACATAAACAAATTGAAGTTAATCAGGTTGGGTTTAAGCATCAAGAGGATGAAATGGCTTACATCAGCGCCTTACCTGACAGGTACTTTCCTGACCTGTCAAAATTACTTCCATCTGTAGAAACGTCCAACGGTATCCAACCCGTCTCATATAACAGAGGGGATATGCAGAAAGCATGGCCCTGTTCATCAATAAACCCTTCTACTTCTACTTCACCTTTGAACCTGCATCAAATAAACAGAATAAACAATTTATGCAAACAAAGCCACAAAACTGTCTGAAACTGAGTTTACAGCAGTTTTTGTTCCTGAACTTTAGGTTAAATTTTATTTATCGTCATTGTCGTCTTCCTCCGCTTATCCGGGTCCGGGTCGCGGGGGCAGTATCCCAACTAGGGAGCTCCAGACTGTCCTCTCCCCGGCCACCTCCACCAGCTCCTCCGGCAGGACCCCAAGGCGTTCCCGGACCAGATTGGAGATGTAACCTCTCCAACGTGTCCTGGGTCGACCCGGGGGCCTCCTGCCAGCAGGACATGCCCGAAACACCTCCCCAGGGAGGCGTCCAGGAGGCATCCTGACCAGATGCCCAAACCACCTCAACTGACTCCTTTCGATCCAAAGGAGCAGCGGTTCTACTCCGAGTCCCTCCCGAATGTCCGAGCTCCTCACCCTATCGCTAAGGCTGAGCCCGGCCACCCTACGGAGGAAACTCATTTTGATCGCTTGTATCCGCGATCTCGTTCTTTCGGTCATTACCCAAAGCTCATGACCATAGGTGAGGATTGGGACGTAGATCAACCGGTAAATCGAGAGCCTGGCTTTCTGGCTCAGCTCCCTCTTCCCCACGACAGATCGGCTCAGCGTCCGCATCACTGCAGACGCCGAACCAATCCGCCTGTCGATCTCCCGATCCCTCCTACCCTCACTCGTGAACAAGACCCCGAGATACTTAAACTCCTCCACTTGAGGTAGGACCTCTCTCCCGACCCGGAGTTGGTAAGCCACCCTTTTCCGGTCGAGAACCATGGTCTCAGATTTGGAGGTGCTGATCCTCATCCCAGCCGCTTCACACTCGGCCGAACCTACCCAGCAAGAGCTGAAGGTCAGAGCTGGATGAAGCTAGGAGGACCACATCATCCGCAAAAAGCAGAGACGAGATTCTCCCGCCACCAAACTCGACACACTCCACACCACGGCTGCGCCTAGAAATTCTGTCCATAAAGGTAATGAACAGAACCGGTGACAAAGGGCAGCCCTGGCGGAGTCCAGCCCTCACCGGGAACAGGTCCGACTTACTACCGGCTATGCGGACCAAACTCACGCTCCTCTGGTAAAGGGACTGAATGGCCCTTAACAGAAAGCCACCCACCCCATACTCCTGGAGCGTCCCCCACAGGGTGCCCCTGGGGACACGGTCATAAGCCTTCTCCAAATCCACAAAGCACATGTGGATTGGTTGGGCAAACTCCCATGCCCCCTCCATCACCCTTGCAAGGGTATAGAGCTGGTCCACAGTTCCACGGTCAGGACGAAAACCACATTGCTCCTCCTCAATCTGAGATTCAACTATCGATCTGACCATCCTCTCCAGTACCTTGGAGTAAACCTTTCCAGGGAGGCTGAGGAGTGTAATACCCCTATCGTTGGAACACACTCTCAGGTCACCCTTCTTAAAGATGGGGACCACCACCCCGGTCTGCCACTCCACAGGTACTGCCCCCGATGACCACGCAATGTTGCAGAGACGTGTCAACCACGACAGCCCTACAACATCCATAGCCTTGAGATACCCAGGACGAATCTCATCCGCCCCCGGGGCTCCGCTGCTGTGTAATTGTTTGACTACCTCAGCAACTTCTGCCCCCGAGATTGGACAGTCCATCCCCAGGTCCCCCGGCTCTGGTTCCTCCTCGGAATGCGCATAGGCTGGATTGAGGAGCTCCTCAGAGTATTCCTTCCACCGTCCGACTATAGAGCTCCGGACCCCACGTGACTCTCAGTTAGTGGACGCCATTTTGGCAGGAAAAAAAGGTAAACAAACACGGATGTAACCATGAACATGAACGTGATCCGCTTGGATTTTACTTTGTCGGAGTTTACTTCACACTTTAAAACCGAAGAAATCGTTTTATATAGTCAGAAATTAAATAGACTAAACATCTCCGACCCTTACCGTGCCCCTGGGATACTTTTTTAAAACGCCAGAAGCTGTCGGAGCGGACTTCTTACCGGCACAACACCGGACCTGACCGGGGAACCCCTTGGGATTTACCCGGCCGGAGGAGCTGGGGAGAGGTCTGGGACTCTCGACTCTACTGCCCGCTCCGACGCCAGAAGCTGTCGGAGCGGACTTCTTACCGGCACAACACCGGACCTGACCGGGGAACCCCTTGGGATTTACCCGGAGGAGCTGGCTCCGGCGGCTGGGGAGAGGGAAGTCACGCTACTGCCCCCGCAACCCGACTCCGGATACGCGGATGAAAATGGATGGATGGATGGACAAATAACAGATTTACACGTAAGTAGTCTCGGTGAGACAGATAATAGCAATCCAAAGTGCTTTTTATGTGTGATCTGACAATTGATCAACCATTGCTTAAAAATTAAATACAGCTTAGCCGGTTAATTGCTGTGATCATAAAACACGTAAACGGCAGCACGCAGAACTCACGAGGCAACGTTTTACGTGATGTTTACTTGCTGCTGTGAGTAATAAGACAGAAAAAGCCACGCCAAAATAAGTTTAGGAAGCCCGCTAAGAATCGTAATAAAAGCATTAAAAATAAATACCATACACAGTTGAGGAAACGTTGGTTTAAGTGATATGAAGCGGTCGCTGCATAAGCGAAAACCTTTACTCTCGGGGTCCCACAGTTTCATTTTCGCCCGGTCACTAGGGCGTTTTATTATAATGATCCAACGTTTGCGGCACTGCGGATCTTGGGGAATCCTGTAGATGGCTCATTCCTTATGTCATCCGCGTCTGTTCTGCATCCTGGGGCACAACAGGAATCTACCATATTTCCCGTTTGATTGAGTTTTCTGACAATAACAAATAGTCCAGCTGCCGGCTTCTGCCTGCCAAATGGCGCCGTTTCGATTTGAACTGTTGCATGCCGGGAGAAGTGACGTCAACTCCCGGAGCTCTATAGCCCCAGTTGACGTCAGCAGCTCCCCATCCACACTGTAAACAGTGTGAGCGAGTTGCTGCCTTCCTCTCCTGAGGCGCCAGACAGTTTGCCAGAACCTCTTTGGAGCCGATCGATAGTCTTTCTCCATGGACTCACCAAACTCCTCCCACCCCCGAGATTTTGCCTCGGCAACTGCCACTTCTGCACCCCGCTTGGCTCTCCGGTACCTGTCTGCTGTCTCCGGAGACCCACAGACCAGCTCTGCCCTGTAGGCCTCCTTCTTCAGCCTGATGGCTCCCCGAACCTCCTGTGTCCACCAGCGGGTACGGGGGTTGCCACCACGACTGGCACCGGCCACCTTGTGACCACAGCTAGCAACAGCCGCCTCAACAATCGCAGAGTGGAACAAGGCCCACTCGGAGTCAATGTCCCCCACTGCTCTCGGGATGCAGTCAAAGCTCTGCCTGAGGTGGGAGTTGAAGATGTCTTGACAGGTTCTTCTGCCAGGCGTTCCCAGCAGACCCTCACTATGCGTTTGGGTCTGCCAGGTCTACGCGGCATCTTCCCCTGCCATCTGATCCAACTCACCACCAGGTGGTGATCAGTTGACAGCTCCGCTCCTCTCTTCACTCGGGTGTCCAAAAACATACGGCCGCAGGTCAGATGATACGACTACAAAGTCTATCATCGACCTGCGACCTAGGCTGCCCCGGTACCAAGTGTACCGATGGGAATCCTTATGTTCGAACATGGTGTTCGTTATGGCCAAACTGCGGCTTGCACAGAAGTCCAATAACGAAACACCACTCCAGTTCAGATCAGGCGGGCCGTTCCTCCCAATCACACCCCTCCAGGTCAAGCTGTCATTGCCCACGTGAGCATTGAAGTCCCCCAGCAGGACAATGGACTCCCCTGATGGAGCACTATCTAGCACTCGTCCCAGGGACTCCACAAAGGGTGGATACTCTGAACTGATATTTGGCCCATCAGCACAAACAACAGTCAGGACCCGTTCCCCGACCCGAAGGCACAGGGAAGCTACCCTCTCGTCCCCCGGGGTAAACCTCAACACACAGGCAGAGTCTTGGGGCTAACAAAAAGCCAACCCCAGACCTCCGCCTCTCACCCGGAGCAACTCCAGCAAAGGAGAGTGTCCACCCCCTCTCAAGGACTTGGGTTCCAGAGCCAATGCTATGTGTCGAGGTGAGTCCGACTATATCTAGCCGGTACCGCTCAACCTCTTCCACTAGCTCCTGCTCCTTCCCCGCCAGCGAGGTGACGTTCCATGTCCCAAAACCAGATTCCTTGTACGGGGATTGGACCGCCAAGGCTCCCGCCTCAGTCTGCCACCCGATCCACACTGCACCGGACCCTTCATGTTCCTCCTGCGGGTGGTGGGTCCACAGTTGGATGAGCCCATGTATCCGGTTCGGGCTGGGCCCCATGGGCGAAAGCCCAGCCACCAGGCGCTCGCTCACGGGCCCCAACCCCAGGCCTGGCTCCAGGGTGGGACCCTGGTAACCCTCCGGGCCGGGTACTCCGACCCTTTGATTGTATATCCATGAAAGATCCTGTGAACCGTTCTTTGTCTCACCCTTCACCTAAGACCAATTTGTCATGGGAGACCCTACCAGGAGCACAAAGTGCCCCAGACAACATAGCTCCTAGGATCATTAGGGCACTCAAACTCCTCCACCACGATAAGGTGACGGTTCAAGGAGGAGCTTTTATTTATTAAAATACCAAATCAAATATCAGGGTTGAACCCTGGATTACATCAGAAATTTTGATTTATGTCATAATTTCCCTAATCGACTTTGATGATGTGAAAGTTTGAACTAAAAACCCAATAAACGTTCCATTGGAGCCTGATTACATTTTTAATGTATTTGTACTCGACTGATTTCCTGCTTGCATGATTTAAAATGTAAGAACAAACCTGCAGAGAAGGAGTGTGTCAGCAGCAAGAACTGAACCCAGGATCCTCAGAGCTCTGCCACCCAACATTGAGCTGGAGTGGGGGGACACATGGAGGCAGAACTGGTTGTGGTCTGTGCAGCAGGTCAGCAGAGACAAGCATGATGCATGGCAGGAGCATTCCTCTGATAGCTGTCCACACCTTTTCCTGCATGTTTGACCTAAAAAATAGATAAAAAATGTAAACATTTCAGAAATTATTAAATAAAGGTCACTAAGTTTAAAGAGCTATTGTATTTAGGTCATAAAACTGGAATTAACCTGATGTTTGAGGCGAAAACAATAATATTCCAAAGAGAAAAAGTAATTTCCGGACGTTTGCGTTCATGTTTCCTTCTTAGAGAACAAAATAAGCCTCCACCTGATTAAATCAACCCTCAACCGAGTCTGACAGCAATATAAAGGTAACCAAAGGTCAGCCAAAGCTGCAAACAAAACAAAAACGGAGACAGCCACGATTTGAACTCGGCCCTGCTGACGATCACATGGAGTTAAGTTAGTTAGGAGTTATGAACCAAATCAACTAACGAGAAAAAGCTCTCGCGAGATTCAAGCTTCGATCACTTGTGTGCGACTTGTAAAAACGTCCAGCCACTTGGTGGCGGTAATGCCATATCAGATATGTGAACGGTAATGCACCCGATCCTCGAAGAAGATAGTTTTGCGCATGCGCACTTGTTATACTCTAGCTTACTTTCTGGTTGTCTTTCATTCTAAACATAACTGTCGTTTGAGAGGTTTCCATAAGTTAACATAAATAACAGTTTTTTTAATGTTCGATTCATCTTCCATAAAACACGCTTAGTTACGGTTATCGCTACAAGATCCAGTATGTCTGCGAAATAGAGACAACACGTCCAGCTAGCAAGCTAAGCTAGCTCCTAGGAGACGAGCTAACAGGAAAATGTATTTTCTCTACACAATTATTGCATCCTTAAGTTTATTTTTTATTTTAAAATGGATGAAAAGGAGGAGATATTTCATGGAGCTGAAAAGACTAGATGGGAAAACGGTTCTTATCACAGGTAAGATAAGCTAACTTTATGGAGAATGCCTGAACAATTGCTGTGTTGTGTTCTCCCACAGAAACTCACCTTTCCTTTACCTTGAGGTGGTAATTCAGGCATTGGCAAGGAGACAGCTGTTGCCATGGCGATGAGAGGTGCCCGTGTCATCATAGCTTGCAGAGACCCGAGCAGAGCTGAGAAGGCCGTCAGGGAGATCAAACTAAAGAGTGGCTCTCTTTGTGTTTTTCCCATGGAGCTGGATCTGGCCAGCCTGCGCTCGGTCAGGGATTTCTGTAAAAGCTTCCTCATGAGGGAGAAGAGGCTTGACATCCTGATCAATAACGCAGGTGAGAGACGTTTGAGCCAAAAGCTGTAAAATGACAACACACAACATATGACTTTTCATCGTTAATCTCTGACACGTGTCCGCAGGCATGCCCGGCGTCCTGGACTGGACCAATGACGGCTTCAGCATGTGTTTTGGTGTCAACCACTTGGGTCACTTCCTCCTGACTAACTTGCTGCTGCCTCGACTGAAGGAATGTGCTCCCAGCCGGGTGGTGACACTTACATGTTCCAACTACAAATATCAGAAACTGGACTTCCAGGACCTCAATTACAACCTGCTGCCCTTCTTCACCTACTGCCGCAGCAAGCTGGCCAACATCTACTTCAGTCAGGAACTGGCTCGCATCACAGAAGGAAAAGGAGTCACATCCTACGCTGTGCACCCCGGTAAGTCCTTCCTTTAACTATCATCTACCCGTCACCACACCGCTGTTTGACACCACTCCTGATGTCTCTTAACCCCCAACAGGTTTTGTCCAGAGCAGCTGGACGTGCCACTACTCGTTCCCGTTCCAGATGCTGATGCAGGTGATCATGTGGATGTTTTTCGTGCCGTGTGAGATTGGAGCTCAGACCGTCATCTACTGCTCTGTGTCGGATGAAGCAGCAGAACACAGCGGGGGTTATTTTGTTGACTGTCAGCCGGCAACTCTGCGTCCGTTTGCCAGAGATGCTGGTGTGGCTAAAAAGCTGTGGGAGGCCAGTGAGAGAATGGTGAGACTGGTGTAACGGTGGCAGCTGAGGAATCTCGGATATCTGTCACGTAGATGGAAATTATTTATTATTAATTCTGTTAAGTTTAATCCGGCTGTGCAGTGGTTAGAGCTGTTGCCTCTCAGCGAGAAGGTCCTGGGTTCGATTCCCGGCCTGGGATCTTTCTGCATGGAGTTTGCGTGTTCTCCCTGTGCATGCGTGGGTTCTCTCCGGGTTCTCCGGCTTCCTCCCACAGTCCAAAAACACGACTGTTAGGTTGATTGGTCTGTCTAAATTGTCTTTAGGTATGTGTGATTCCCTCCAAGCAACACAGACGCAAGCGATTTCTTTTACGGGTTTATTGGACGTCCTTTCATTGTGGACCTCTTCTGTCCTCCTTTCTTAGACCTCCCTTAAACCGTGAAACTAAATATACAGGATAGTACAAGTAAAACATATACAATAATGTGCAACAAAATAAAGACAAATAAATACCTCGTTGGCTGTTTTGCTTAAAACACAAAGGGAATCCATCCGTCCTTCTTTAAATCCTTTCACTAGTTAGTTCTTTAGCAAAAGATTGAATGTTTTCAGTCCATTAGCTGTCTGCTTGCCAGCACTTCATCCAGGCTGTGTGTTCCTCACACCTGGCTTGCATCATCAAATTAAGGGTGTGGCTGGCAGAGCAGCTCGTGTAGCTTTCAAAATAAAATAACAGGAAAAAACCAACCCAGTGTCTTACAAATGGGAAAATAAATAAATGAAGAAATAAACAGCAACAGCAGTTACACTCCCACCAAATCACACAAAACCCAGTGTGGGATTTCTAAGGAAACTTAAGGGCTGGTCAGACTTAAGTACTTTCATTTGCTTCAATCGATGTAACAAGTTTATGTACAGGTCTGTCAAGGAACACTGTTTTAGTCGTAGGTTCACCCTTTCCATCAAATGTGGTATCACCAACCAACAATCTTACTTTTCGTTCTTTATCATCTAACCCTGGATAGACCTCGGCTATTCTGGCTAGTTTCCATTCATTTCGTGGTGCCTGCTCCTTCTGTAAAAGTACGACGTCATTCACCTTCATGTTTCTTCTGGTTGTCTGCCATTTTTGTCTTTGTTGTAAACTCAGCAGATATTCCCTTTTCCAACGAATCCAAAATTCATTGGCCAAATACTGGACTCTGCGCCACCTTTTTTAAAGATGCAGGTCTTCTTTGACAAACTGCCCAGGTGGAGGAAGGATAATTGTTGACGTCATTGTAAGAATGTGATTTGGAGTTAAAGGTTCAGGTGCAGATGGATCATTCAAATTCTCAACTGTAAGTGGTCGGCTATTGACAATCGCCATTATTTCATAAAACAAAGTTCTTTGAGCTGAATTGTCAAGATTGCTTGTGAGAACACTTCGAATAGTCCTAATCTGTCGTTCCCAGATGCCACACATGTGGCTTGCTGCTGGGGGATTCATTAGGAGTTCACATTTTCACGCTTTCTTTCCCGTCAGTGTCAGAGCCTGATGACCATTCATACTGTAGATCAAATGTTATCTGAGGAAATACGTCCATCTTTGCTGTGCAAAGTCGGTCAAAATCCAAGAGTTAACGGAAGTAACGTTAATGATGAACCGAACACCTGCGCACAGCGGAGTGATACTGTTTGTAAACAGTCCCAGTGCTGTTGTGGTCCAATATCAGCACTCTTGGAAAGTCTCTTGACCAATCAAATCACTCGGTCGGAACTAACTGTTGCATAATGTTATTTATTCTGTAAATTGTTAATGAAAACGCTAATTTTGACACTTGTTTGCATAGTTGTGATCTTTAGGCGAAATCCTTTCGTTCTTCAGCACAACTGGTTTCTGACGTGTTTTTATACATAAATACACGACTCAGTGTAAAACCAAACTGCTTTTTCAGGCTTTAACTGCAGTTTCAGCTATGAAATGTTTGTAAAAGATGCATTCTGTCTTTTTTAAAGTTGTTTTCTGACACTTGTGTTTGTTTCCAAAATAAAGTAAATGATTCGGTTTCTTCTGCTGGTTTGTTTTTTTATTTTCCCACAAGGAAGCTGAACAATAATTTTGACGCTGACAAGGAGTTCAGACACTGTTCAAGTGTAGCACGTAACTTAAAAAGTAACTGCGTAAATACTTTCCCTGAGTTTATTTAGCTGCTTTGCTTTTTTATCTCAGAGTTTAACTATTTATTATAAAAGCAGAAACTCTGTAGCTGCAGCTTTTCTTGGTGTGGTCCTGAGACGTTGTGGTTAGATGTTAATCCTGCTTCCTGAAAGATGGCTGCAGGTTTATATTCCCTTATTGGACAGTTTTTCCCATTATCATTTAACTTTAAAGGTATTTAGTTTGTGAAAAATAATCTTTAGTTTTGAGTTGAAATGCGGAAAAACTTCAGACTTTTAGTATGAATTCTGATTGGGTCGTCTTTGGTAAAGTTAAAAAGTGACTCGAACCAATGATTAGAACAAGGCGGCACCTCTTTCTGTTTCAGAGCTAAAATAAGTTAAAATGTAAAAAGTCAAATGTTTTTCAAAAGAAAACTTAAAATTCCCGATGGCTTTAAAACTTTATAAAAATGTTGCGGGACGACTGCAGATTAATTGTGTCCAGTAAGATGTGATGATTCCATATAAATATGAAATATCAACCTGACTGATCTTCGAAGTGTAATCAGAAGATTATAGTTACTTTTAGTTGTTCAGGGATCATAAACACACTTCGTATTAATTCAGAAAGAGTCAGCATAAAGTAAAAAAATTAGGAATTTTATTCTTTTTCCTAAACTAATGATTTATACATGACAAGATATGAATAATAAGATGTGATATAGTGGATATGAGGTGGTGTGGTGTAAGCTAGATGTTTACCAGAACCTCCAGCTTCACTGGCTGCCAGACAGCCTCAAGGTTCACTTTAAGATCCTGGTTCTGGTCTATAGGGCCTTACATGGACAAGCACCATCTTACATTGGTGATCTTCTTAAGCCTGATTTATGCTTCTCCGTCTGCGCCAGTGCGGAGACAAGCAACGCCATTATCCGTCCTTGCGTAGGGATCCGGCAGGCACGCAAGTACGTACGGAGTCGAGCCCACTTTTTTAAACATCCGTCGAACGAGACGGATTACGCAAGCTTGTGATTGGTCAGGACACCGCTGTTGTTTACAGCACCGCCATTGCAAAGAGAGCCGAGGATAACTAGCGGCAGATACGGAGAAGCTTGAAGAATACCTCGCGAAAAAACTAAAAATATGAACGTTTCATCCTCCCGTGACTGAAGGAGTGAAAAGATGCGCAGCAAGCGTTTTATTTGTTGACGGAAATGAAAGGAAACGTGGGTTTAGAGGTGGGAAGCGCATGAAGCGGTGGGAGAATGAGAGACAAATATGTCCGTGTTAAAAGTCTCTTATATACACAAAAAACACAATATAAACACACGATCTTGGACCGATGCATGACAGGATACCACAGAACAGCGCTACGCCCTCTGTGGTCCTGCCGGACAATTTGCTCTCCCCCTGAGCCTGAGATCAGTGGACTCAGTGGTCTCCTTTAAAAAGCAGCTGAAGACTCACTTGTTCAAGCTGGCTTTTGTATGACCTTCTTCACCTCTCTCTCTTTATTCTGCTCTCCCCACCTATTCCACCTTCCTCAGGATCCACTTACTTCCCTCTTTCCTGTTCACTCTCTCTCTTTCTTAACATTTTTTAATCATAATTGTCTATTTTTGCTCATTTTAAATATATTTTTAATCATTTTGTAAATTATTGTTTATATTTTACATTTTTTGTTTTTGTGAAGCGCCTCGTGATTTTTATCTTGAGAGGCGCTGTAGAAATGAAATTTTCTTCTTCTTCGTACCTGAGAGAAAATGTGGAGTCTGGGTGTAAAATAATTTGTTGTCTGCTATAAACTAGAGAGTTGGTTATTAACCCGCAGATTTGCAGGTTGGATGTTGAATTCTTCTGTTGTTAAAGGCCAAGAATGTTGCAGAACAAAAGGTTAAACACAAAAGCGCAGGTTGAATATCTGAGCATCTCACTAATTCATGTTGCATCTTCAAACACCTTTTATTACGTCAGAAACAAGAATCCTCTGTTATTGATCCAGTAATAAAACAAAACTACAGTTTGTGTTTAAATGATGATTTTACTGAAACACGCGTAGCAGCAAGCAGTGTTGGGAGTAACGCCGTTTAAGTATAACGGCGTTCTTTTTTAGGTAACGGAATAATCTAATGAATTACTTTTCCCACTGTTGCACCGCCGTTGGAGATAAATCTAGGAATATCCCCCGTAAACGTTCTTTACCAACGAACCTCAGTTCTGTGAAAGATTCAGACAACTGTTTTGCAAGACAGGGTAGCCACTCAGATCTCGTCTGCAGCAGAACGACAGGGAGGCTGAGCAAGTCACCGTTTATTTATAACTCAGAAAGGAAAACAAACAAAAGGGAGGGTTTGACAAGTTACAGCTTGACCTGAACAACTTGACATGAAGGGCATTTGTGTGGGGTGATGGAACAGCGGTGTGTGTGTGTGTGTGTGTGTGTGTTAAGCTTGTGTGCTCTAACAAAAAAGGAGGTCCTCCAGTTCCAGGGATGGACGATTAGTTTCTGTTATAAATCAGGTGAAGGACAGTGTGTGGGAATCTAAAGAATACATTGCATGCAACAGATTAAGTTTAACTGAGAGCAAAGTTCCTCTTGCACACATGGACGTAATTTGGGGGGGGGGGGGGGGGGGAGACAGTTTTATAGATGGAATTAATCATGTCAGGCATTAATAAAGCATGAAGACACATTAAATTTTTACCTAAATCATTTTATGGTGCGTTTGGATACCTGTTCATCGAGGGTTCATGGGATTGCATGTGGTGTGCCCCAGGGTTCAATTTTAGGCCCAGTGCCTTTTAACCTTTATATGCTCCCTCTTGGCAGTGTCATCAGGAGACACGGGTCCAGTTTCCACAGATACGCTGATGATACACAGCTGTACATCTCTGTGTCTCCTGATGACACACGGCCGATGAACTCACTTTTTAATTGCATTTTTGACATCAAATCCTGGATGGCAGGAAACTTTCTCCAGCTCAACCAGGACAAAACTGAAGTTTTAGTCATCGGTCCTGAGGCCCAGAGAGAGAAGCTTTTACCAAAATTACAATCACTGTCTCTTAATCCATCTGAACAAGTGAAGAACCTGGGTGTCATCTTTGACTCTGAGCTGACTTTTATCCATCATATTAAAAATATCACCAAAATAGGTTTTTATCATCTAAAGAACATCGCCAGAGTCCGCCCCATTCTCTCTCGGGCCAATACGGAGGCGCTGCTGCATACTTTTATCACCAGTAGGATAGACTACTGCAACGGCCTGCTTTCTGGTCTACCTAAAAAGAGGATTTCAGGTTTACAACTATTACTAAACTCGGCAGCACGTGTCCTGACGAAGACCAGGAGGCGGGAGCACATCACTCCGGTTTTACAATCACTGCATTGGCTCCCCGTGTGTTTCAGGATCGATTTCAAAATAATTTTAACGGTTTTTAAGTGTCTTAATGGTCTTGGGCCTTCTTATCTTTCAGAACTGCTTTTACCGTATGAACCCACGCGGCCTCTGCGCTCCTCTGGCAGCCGTCTCCTTGTCATCCCTAAAGTCAGGACGCATATTCACGGCGAGGTGTCCTTCCAGTTCTACAGTCCTCGCCGCTGGAACGAGCTGCCAGGGGACCTCAGGGCTGCTGAGAACGTTCATGTTTTTAGAAACAGACTCAAGACTTATCTTTTTAGCTTAGCTTTTAACTGAATACTATCACTTTTTAAATTATTTAATTACTTAGGTTATTTATTTATTTAATGTATTCTTTCTTTATTCATGCTTTTTACACCGTTTTTTACCGTGATTTATGATCAACATTATTTTAATATCTATATAACTTTTTATATTACAATTCTCATTTGAGCTCTTTAGATTTTATATTTTAACCCTAATTTAACCTTTTTCCAGCGCTTCCTCTGTGGGAGCTCTCTGCCCCGGCGGCGGTGGTCGGCTGTGGTGGCCTGGGTGCTTTCCAGGTGTGCCTGGGTGGTGGTGGGGGTTTCTGCCCTCCCTGCCCTGGGTGCCCTGTGTGTCGGTGCCTCGGCTGCTGCCGGGGCGGATGGCTCCCCTGATGGCGTTTCCTTATCCTTAGCTGGTCTGGCTCATCTGATCTCAGTCAATCATGTTTTTTTTACCATGGGGAAGGGGGCATGTATGTGTGTGTGTGTGCGCGTGTGCCGGAGGATGAGTGTTGTGAAGGGTTTTTATTGTCAGACTGTTTTTAAAATTCTGGGGATGGGAGGGAATGTGGGGCCTTTTAAATTTGAGTTGCGTGTATTGTAGAATAAAGTGCTGTATAAATAAAAGTTGATTGGTTGAAATCTTTTTACATGTAACCCAATAAACATTTAAACCGGTTTAACTGTTTGACCTTCTGTTTATTAGAACACTCAATACAACATGAAGACTTTTATTATACAGATGTTAAATGCAGTAACTCTCCTTTAACAATCTTGTGATAGATATTTCCTACTTAGTAATATTGTTGGGGTTATCTTCTCAGATTGAGTTCAAGTAAACCAAATCGCGCCCTCTGCTGGTGGAAATGTATTATTCATGGCTCAGCTTGTCTCAAGGAAGTAAAAAAAAAAAAAAGGAGGTATATTCAAACTGAAAGTTTATTTTGAAATGTTCTTGTTCAGCTTTGAAAGAGGTGCCATTGCAGAAGGCTCGGATATTTGGACTCTGGTTCAAAAAGACAAGTACCTGGTGAGTCTCTCGACAGATAATTAAATATATTTGGAGGAAATGGCTGAAAAACTCCAGGAGAGTTTCCTGAGCTGCTTCGTTTGTTCAGAGACTTTCAGAGATCCTGTGTCTCTGAGCTGCAACCACAGCTTCTGTTCAAGCTGCCTGCAGACGTTCTGGAAACAAGCCAACAACAGAAACTGTCCTGTTTGTAAAAGAAGATCTTCTAAGGACATCGTAGTGAATTTTGGACTGAAGCAACTTGCTGACTCTTTTGCTGAGAGGCAGAAATCTGGATCATCTGAGACAGAAAAAGGAGAGAAGACGTTGCAGGTGGTGTGCAGCAGACATCAGGAAGAGCCTAAACTGTTCTGTGAAGACGAGCAGAGAGCTGTGTGTCCTGTCTGTGACTTTTCTCTCCACCAGAGTCACAAAGTGGTTCCTTTAGAACAAGCAGTCCGTGAGCTGAAGGAGCAGCTGGAATCGGACTTAAAGTCTCTGCAGGACAAGAGGAACAAATACAAACAAGTGGAGGAAACATACGATGATGTGATTCAACACTCCAAGAAGCAGCTGGTGTCCACAGAGAGACAGATCAGAGCAGAGTTCAACAAGCTCCACCAGTTCCTGAAAGAGGAAGAGGAGTCCAGACTGGCAGCTCTGAGGGAGGAAGAGGAGCAGAAGGAGAAGACTATCAGCAGAGAGATGAAGAGGATTCAGCAGCAGATCTCCTCTCTGTCAGACAGCATCTCTGCTGTTGAAGACGAGCTGCAGAAAGACAACGTGGCGTTCCTCAGCAGCTATAAAGACACTCGGACCAGAACCAGAACCCAGAGCTCAGTGTCAGATCCACAGCTGGGCTCAGGAGCTCTGATAGATGTGGCCAAACACCTGGGCAACCTGTCCTGTCTGGGAGAAGATGAAGGACAAGGTCCACTTCAGTCCTGTCACCCTGGACCCAAACACTGCAGAGGGCTGGTTGTACCTGTCTGATGATCTGACCCGTGTGAGACGTGGAGACACATGGCAGCAGCTTCCTGATAATCCAGAGAGAAACACCAAGTATTCTGATGTTTTTGGTTCTGAGGGCTTCAGCTCAGGGAGATACAGCTGGGAGGTGGAGGTGGGAGATCTTCCTAAATGGAGTGTTGGTTTGGTTAAAGAGACAGTGGACAGGAAGGGAAAGAGAGATGCTCAACCAAAACATGGAGGCTGGTGTTTTACGCATCACGGTGGAATATACACTACCAGCTCTGATCAGATCATCTCAGTGAAGAAGAATCTCCAGAGGATCAGAGTCCAGCTGGACTACGACGGGGGGGACGTGTCCTTCTACGACTCTGAAGACATGTCTCACCTCTACACTCACAGAGACACTTTCACTGAGAAGCTTTTCCCGTGTTTCAGCGTTTATCCGGCTGGAGCTGCTAAAACCTCTCAGATCAAAGTCTGTGAAGCTGAGATTTCATTTCCTGGTTCCGAATAATTAAATTTACTCTCAGAACTTTCCGACTCAGTCTTTTTTGTTTGATTAGAAGAAACGTAGAAAGTTATAAAATGTTTCAGGTAATTTTTAAATCTTCTGGTTCATCTGGACTTTAGTCAGATTTTGTATGGAGATGATTGAGATGGGGGTTCAAATCCCGGTCTGGACCCAATGCCTCCCTGCACACTCAGCATTAAGAGGTTGGATTAGGGAGTTAAACCACCAAATGGTTCCTGAGAGCGGCCCCAAGGGACGGGTCAAACACGGAGAACAAATGTCACACACACACACCAGTGTGTGTGTGACAACTGATGGGACTAAAATAAAAGGGGAAACATGTGAATAAGTGACTGAATAAACACGTGGAGTAAAACCGACCTTCTATCATAGAACAAGTTTTGCTGATTTAACTTTAAATGAAATATTTTTTGTTCCTGCAGAACGTTAGTTCTAGATATCAGCAGAGAAAATTTCAGACGTGATAATTTTGCATTTGCAAACACTCCTCAACACGTTAGAAGCAACGGCGCATTTGCTGTTCCCATAAACACAAACTGGCCAGTTTGTATTTAAATGATCAGTTTATTGATAACACTTGAACACATCTGTTGAAGTTAAGAGAAACACGTGTAGCACGCAAGAGAACGGAGCAATAACCCGAAGAACCAGAGAACCAGAGGATTAATATTATTATACAGAAGAAACCCGAAGAGACGAAGAGAAACTAGAAAAGAGCCGACAGCAGAGAAATGATTGAAGAAGGTTGGAAACAGAGGGAGCAGGAAAAAGAGGAGAAACCAGCTCAGTGTTGTCAGAGCAGCTTGGCCTCTGCTGGAGGGTCAGGGTGGCAGAAGTTCAGACCGAGCCCGGAGGCTCCGGTTCACCTAACTGATGCATCAAGTCACAGCAGGTCAGACCCATCCCAGAAGCTACACTCCCTCTAGTCTACACGAATCCGCTGTGAACTTCAGCGATAAAAGCATCAGTCTGTTTGTGCTTCTCTTTGTGCGACTGCGCCCCCTGCTGGAGCTCTTCCTCTCCAGGAGACGACCTCTGCACCGACAACACAGAACCCACAGAAAAGCATGCAAAATGATCATCAACACATCATCTTCATCACCATCAGTGCCGTCCTTAGTGCCACGGTCATGAATATAATCATCTATAACGTAATAATCATCTTCATTATATCATCTGGAGACAAAAATAAGTATGTGCACATAAAAAGCATAGAGAGGTCGAGTTTACCAGCATTCAGTAGAAATGAACCCAAAAAAAAACACAGAAAAACCAGAGTCCTGTTGATGGTCATGCAGAGGCTACGCTGCTAGTAGCAGATGTGTAATACTGTGTACTCCTTGTTTTACATATGTGAGTCTTATTATACTGATTCTCATAGAAACGCACTAAGAAGAACAGAAAAAACAACACCGTTGTACTGTACATGCTGCCATTTCTTCCTTTTAGCTCTGGGGAGGGCTGGAGGTCACGTTCAGCGCGACCTTTTGTGTTAAAACGGTTGAAAGTGGACGTCTCTACTCAGCGAAACATAAAAAAGACTCAAAAGAATCAAAATGAGTTGAACTATCTTTAAAAAACAGTCACATGACACGCAACGTCCCTGGAGTCGTACGACAGGACAACGAATTCAAAAACAATAAAAGCACAATTTAAAAAATAAATCCACTAAATAAATAAATAAATATTGAAAATAAATAGAAACCTGAGGACTGTTCACTGAAACGACTGCCGGCTCCCTCTGAGTTTCTTGGTCGGACCAAACGGCGAGACGAACGCGAAGGCAGCCAACGGTGGATGAGCAGCGTACGGCGGAGCTGATCAGAAATCAGTGCTGCAAAGTCCATCTGCTCCACCCGGCCGCCCCTGGCACAAGCACTTAATGCCACGAAAGGCTGATAACACTTTAACCAAATAATAAAAACAACAAAAACAAAGACCTGCGGCGAAGGCAGGGGACCCATTAGTCCTCTAGGAAAGTAAAAATAAAATAAGCCCTCTCCTTGCACCTCAAATTAAACTCTAAAACCTCTTCTTGGGCTTGTAGAGAAACTAAAGCAACACATTTACATGTTAGTGCACACACACACACACACACACACACACACACACACACACACACACACACACACACACACACACACACACACACACACACACACACACACACACACACACACACACACACACTTGAGTACAAGACATTACGAAGCAAACACACCCTTCCCAGATCATAACTGATGCTGGCCTCAGTAGGAGCCTCTTGCCTCCAGCCGGCTGCTCTTATGGCTTCAGAAATCTAATATCTAGTGCTTCAATTTAAAAAACAACCAAAACAGGCTGTCATGTTCTAGTCAGGGCCCTGCGATCCCAACAGGTTAAAAATACCTCAGATTTTCTGAACCAGAGCCTTGCGAGGGTCTCCTAGCAACAACAGGAGCCACCGATGGTGAATCCTCGCCGGTTTTGAGGCACAGACGCCAAAATAATAAAATTCAGTGAGCCCAAGGTAATACTCGTCAGGCCTAAAAGGCTCGGTGTGTTTTAGAAAACTGTTCTCAAACGGGGGAAACGGGACAAAAATCACAGTCTTCTAACTGGGAACATAAAATTCTTTTTGTTCTGAAATAATGAATTAAAAACTGGTCCAGATGCACAGAAAAGGCTCCTATGCTCATTTTATTTTTGAAAATAAATGACTTAGATGTGTGATTTCACCAAAGCTCAGTTTCGCTGTTTAAAGAGCAAGTCACCCCCCAAATCAACATGTTTTTCCTGATAAACTTTATAAATGTGTGTCTAATCGTGCTGCAGACACGTGTAGTCAATAGTTTAGCACTTTAGTGCATTTTAGTTAAAATTTAAACTTTCTGCCTAAAACTGTCAGTGTTGTGCCGTTGTCAGGTAAAAACTCTGCACTGCAGTTGAATTTAAATCTGCCATCGCTATTGGCTAAGAGGTACTCTAGAACGTTAGCTGGTACCATATGATGTCACAATGTCGTTGTGAGCCTGTGTGTGTGAATTTGTTAGCGGCTCCGCCCTCTCGGTCTGCTAGGCAACAGCATTTGTTGCATTTTTCAAACAAGAAGTGGGAGCGGAGTAAGAATCTGGCAGGGGGTGACTTGCTCTTTAAGCTTCAGTGCTTTTACTCTTTACTGACACCTACTGGTGAAGCTGTGTATTGTAATAAAAATAAACTACAGCCGCTTCATTTTAATTTAACCGTCAAGAAATTTAAAAACTAAAATAATCGAAAGTATTTTCTAATTTTTACGGGTAAAATCAGAGCAAATAAATAAAATCTATATTATTATCATATATTATGTGTTTTGACGCTGCTGAGTTAAATGCAGCTTAAAATGCAACGAGGAAACAACAGCAGGTGACGAATAAAACGGCAAGAGAAAAACAACCGCTGCATGTCTGGCCTACATCCTCACACACACACACGCACGCACACACACATGCACACACTTCGTATTCTCAGATAACGCCCACCTAACACACCGATTCCAAAAATGGACAAAAAAGAAACAAAAAAACGAGCTAAAACAAAAACTTGTCTGTGAATTTAGGTGCAGCGTTATAGCCAACCAACAAGAAGCTAATTACAAAACTTTCAACATCCTTCTCCACCTAATAATCACAATAAACTAAAAATAAATAAAATAAACAACCACTGTTAATAAGGGGAGATAAAACATGCTTCCTTAGAAAGTTTAAACAAAAAGACTTCCTTCAACTCTAAAAACCACTAGCATCAAGGGTTCTGAATTATATAAATGACATGTACAATTACAAATGTGCAACAATAATAATATTAATATTAATGTAAGGCCCGCTGTATCGTATGCGACACACACATTTCTAAACAATCTGCAGACTTAAACCTTTTAAGGGTTTCTGCTCAGGGATTATTTATGTCCTCAAGTGTCACGTGGGACTTTTATTTAGTATAATTATTGTTGTGTTATTATAGAATTGCTTGATACGTTTAATATGAAAGTTAATAATTATCATTACCAATCAAATGTTTAAAATTTTAACAAATGAGTGTTTTTAATATGATTTAATGTGTTGGGTCTTAAAGGGTTAATAATAATAACAATAATAATGATAATTATAGGTTTTACTTAAAACTGTACATACTGTATGTCCAGTGCAGTGTTTATGTCACACGTGTGGATTCACAGGAGGACAACGGGGGGGGGGGGGGGGGACCACAGGAAGGAGGAGTTACACCCCCGCCCTCCCCCTCCGACCACAAATCAAACATCCGGTGAGCTGGAGAGAAGAGGAAGAAGCCGGGCGGCGGGGGACGGCTGTGGGAGACGGGGGTCAGTTGTGGTGGTGGGGGGGATACCAGGGGGCCTACGGGGAGGGCACTCGGCCCCCCAAGTCAACACAGGTGGTGTCCTGTCATCCCTCCTCCTCTTCTCTCTCCAGCATCACTCCTGACAGACACAACTAAAGCGTTTAACCCTGAAAAAGAAGAGATATAAAAAACAGACTTTGGTGAAAACCTCCCTGAGCGTTGTCCCGGTTTCACACGGCAAGCATCAGCGGCGCGGCACCGCTTCAGTCCAATTATAGTCTATGGAGTGTTTCAAACCAGCAGCAATGCAGCAATTTCCAGGTGCGTCCCAGAAGCGGCGTGCCGCGCCACGCCTCGCCGCGCCACGCCGCTAAACACAGGATTGAGTTCAATTTTTTTCCCGTGAGCCGTTTCTGGGACACGTCAATTTCCGCAGTTCACACAGTGCGAGACAGGAAACCACACGGTTTCAGTGTAAAATCCCCGGTTATTTTCAAAATAAAATGCAACGATGCGATGTTACATGTAACTTAAATCATGTGACCGAACGGCTTTGTGCACCACCAGTTTCTGTCAAGAAGTGCAACGGTGCGATTCCTCGCGGGGGTTGTGGTCTCTCCACGAGGAAGGTGTCGGAAGTCTCGAGGGATTTTAGAATCTCGCGGGAACGGCGAGGCGCAGCGAGGAAGCCGTGCCGCGGCCCAGACTCTCCCGGTGTGAAAAGGACCAAAACTGGAATTAGAAACCAGACACAGTAAGAACACGTCAACGGTGTGAAAAGGACCGCTTTGAAGTCCGCGAGTGAGCCGCTCCGCTGATGCCTGCAGAGTGAAACCGGGGTTAGAAGTCAGAAGAAAAACAATAAAAAACAAATAAAAACCTAAAGAACAAACACATGGCTGAACAACAAAAACTGGAGAGCAACAATATCGGTATCGGCCCAACGTCTCATATCAGTGCATCTGTGGATTTTAAATCCGTTTTTAACGGACCAAACATAATCAAAAAAGTATAAAACCTAAAGTCATGGCCAGAAAGCCCTAAACGAGACAAACATTTTTACATCAATTAGTTAAAACTGCACTAAAGTTTAACTTGTGGCATAAAAAATTGTGCTGATGAAACCGTAATGAAAAAATAAATAAACAGGAAGTCTTTATCTGATAGATGGAATGGAAATTCAGAGTAAAAGAAACCAAATTTCTTGGAGTCATGTTGGATGAGAGTCTCACGTGGAAATCACATGTAGGTTATATAAAGGGGAAAATGGCCAAAGCCATAGGTGTATTATATAGAGTCAAGTGTCGGGGTTGTTAGCATAGTATCACTCACTGGTTGAACCATATTTATTTTATTGTTTAGAAATTTGGGGAGCCACCTGCAAACCGTTGTTCATTTAGCAAAAAAGAGCATTGAGAATCATTAATAACAGTAACTAGAGAGATCACACTAACTAATTATTTATTAGATACTAAATACTGAAATTTCCTGACTTGGTAGAGTGGAAAATATTGCAAATAATGTACAGAGCGAATAATCTACCAACTAATATTCAGGAAATGTTTCATACAGTTTTTCTCAGTGGCTTTGGTGCGTTTCTCAGATCAGAATTAAAATTCTCATAACTATTAGTTCAACCTCCACAACATTTAGTCATTTGTGCACATCATAGTAGCAATTTCTCCTTTCTCTGAACAAACTGCAAATGATTTTGGACATGTATCAGTTGCTTTCATACATTTCTCTGCTGTTTTTTGACATTTCCATTTGCTTATGTCATGTCACTCAAAATGAATTATACTTATGGATGCTGAATAGTCGTTCTCAATAAAACTAATAGTCTTACTTTCATTGCTTGAGTCATTACACACAAAATTGTTGAACTAGTTATCAAATGTCAAATATCAGTCGTCTGTCAAGCAAATTCTATACCTTTCTTTATCATTTTATTCTGGAAATGTCTCCTAAATTGAACAATCGATCACAGGTGAATTTCATCTGTCACTCGTGAGGAGGTGAATCCTCAATTGGCAAGCATATATGAACTGAGCAGGAGCTAGTGTGTACCATTTCTATACTTCTGTATACTTCTCCACTCCAGGAGATACTTTCCTCGCTGCATTGCGAGGGACGACATCCGCTGTGATGTAGATGAAAATATGTGGCCAGGCAGACAGGAACGTCTGGATGTGCCAGAATGATTTACTGTACCTGTATGTTACAGTACTGTGCAATACTGTATGTACTGTTACATGTACTGTATATTGTTCACATTTGTGCACAGCTCTACCAAAAGGGTGATTTTTTTGTTTACATGTATTCTACAGTAAACAAGTGACTGGAGCATATTTTCTTTTGCACAATGCTGTAGAATTACAAACACTTCTATACAGTAAAAATGTAAAACGTACGTATTCAGTGTCTCAGTTACTCCCCAAACTCCCATTAACATCTACAGTAACTTTACTGCACATTTCAAATTGCTGTACAAGTAGGGCATAGTGCTGTCTTGAGCATTTTCTGGTGTCACCAAATATTCTTGCAATGGAAAACACTGAAATTATAAACGGTCACAGTGAAAACATGACAAAGCCATTTGACTATCTTGTTCATAGAGATGGTGTCAAGACTTTTCATTCTGATGGCACCGACAGTTTCATTGACATGAATACTTGCTTTTGAGGAATGGATTATCAATTTTGAGCATGTGACGTGCTTTTGCACTAGGTTTTGCAGTTTGCACTAATTGTTTTGAGAAATGCACTAACTGCTGTGCAAATGTTAACAGTGTTCTGAGAAACGCACCAAAGCGACTGAGAAAAACTGTAAGAGAGTAAGTGGGTACGCGTTAAAAGGAACTGATGTCTTTGAGAAACCTAGATTCAGAACCAAAGTGAGGGAATGTAACATTCCTGTAAATGGTGTAAGATTGTGGAACGCCGTTAACGGGGAATTTAAAGAATCAACTTCACTTGCTATATTTAAAAAATGTATAAAATCTAATGTATTTAGTAATTATGAAAAGGAGAATTATAATGTCAATGATTAGACATGAAAATATTAGAAAGTGACTCAGGTTATACTGTGTTTGTTTGACGGATAATTTTATTTCGTAAAAAGGGGCAAAAATTATAAGATTTTTTCTTCTATCTGCTCCTTTTCATTCAAATGTTTTTTTTCAATATGTTAATGTAAGTTGTATTTGTTTGTCTATTTCATACATTTTGACTGAAATAAAAGTAAAATTTTTTTTAAAAAAAGTCAGTCACTTTTAGGCCCTTTTGAAGCCAAACACTCCACCAAACTAAAACAACTGTAAACAACGCTGACGTTTCGACTAATAAAAGCATCCTAAAGTGAATTTACCAGCAACAACTCTGGTTTTATTCCAACACGTTTCTGTTTCTAAAGGGATGAGCCGGTGTCGGTACAAGATCTGCTCGGGTGCAAGATCGGCTCGGGGTCCGTCGACTGCCGATGACGTCAAAGTAGTTGATTGGCTGAACATGAACCTTACGGAAGTTACGTGATCACGTTACGTTGGTCCAGGCAAATCTTTCTGTTGGAAAGATGGACAACTTTTACAAAGAAATCCATCATTACCTCTTTGAAAATACACTTTTAGCATAGAGCTGCATGTTTATTAGGGCTGAACGATTAACTGCATGTGCAATTAAATTGCGATGTGACAAAAGGAGATTTTCTAATGGCAAAGGCTGCAATTTGGCAGCGAGTGGTTAGCGCAATGCTAATATACATGGAAAAACCCATAGGAATGCTAATGCTAATATCACTGATTACATTCTTACAAATTATGAATTAGAAACGTGCCAAATGATTACATTTGGAGTCTAATAGAAAGTAAAACTACCATCAATCAAATAAGTACAGACAGGTATTTTAGTAAAGCCAGAAAACTTTTAACTCCAGAGTTTTAGCTAGCAGCTATGAGCGTACCTGAACTACGCATGGACAAGACGTCAAAAACTCTAAACACAAAATACTTCAATAAACGGGACACACTTCTTTCCTGCAAATACAATTTCACAGGTGTTGCTAATACCTATGATCCTTCAAGGAATGTGCTCAAAGAGGAGTTTAACATTATGAATAAAATATAGTGTTTTATTTTATAAATTATAAACACAAACTTACGTCTTAAGAAACATTATTTTAATAACGAAACTGCTAAATTCTTTCCAACAGTATAGATGTGTAGTGTATTTTGTCCGAGTGGGTTTGCCGTACTTTGACGTCATCGGCAGTCGAAGGACCCCGAGCCGATCTTGCACCCGAGCAGATCTTGTACCGACAGCGGCTCTGTCCCGGTTCGGTGGTCCGTACCTCACTGGAGAGGCGCAGCTGGGGCGCCTGAGCAGTGGAAGTGGATGTTCTGCCACTTGCTGTCTCTGCGATGCCAGACGCGCGTCTCCTCCGACTGGCTGGACCGCGGCCGACCCTGGTTGTCCACAAACTGAGTCAGGCGGATGTAAGCGATGCAGGCGGCGTCCTCGCCGATCAGGTGGACGTGAGGGTTCAGGATGGTGGTGTGGATGGGCTTGTTGTTCTTGGCCAACACTAGAGAGGAAAAAAACAAACAGGTGCGTATGACGTCAGAAGGAGTTTCAGTGTCAGGCTGTTCCAGAAGCAGCGACACACTTCCTGTTTACTTCCTGTTTCTCTTACGGTTTTCAAAGTAGAATCTATGGAAATCCATTCCTTCCACCAGGTTTCCCAGCGCCTCCGGCTCGAACGAGGTCAGCCCGGGGTCACAGATCTTACTGCAGACAAAACCATCAGGCGTCATTCCAGACGCCAAACCCTACATCAGACACGACACGTCCCCCAGAGCCGGACTCACGCGTATGCGTCAAAGTCTCCGTTGTTGATGGCCTCGATCAGCTGCTCGGTGATCTTGATGATTTCTTGTTTACGTGCTGCAGAGAGAGAGAGAGAGAGAGGTGAATCTGAGCTAATCGATGACATCATGGAGGGGAGTTGGTCTGTTTCCTTTGTTCACCCAATCAGACAAACAGATGCCACTCAAGCACTCAAGTGTCGACGCCTCAGACAGCATCACAACAAGGTCACCGATGAGTTAACGAGTCAAAACCAACCATGCCAGTCACCGGTCCGTCTGCAGCGGAACACGCAGAGTGTTACTCAGGCCCAAGAGCGACAAGAACGACCATCAGATGCCATTTATCCAGCAGCGGAGAACGCTAGTCTACCCACAAAAGTCCATAAGTCCTGGGATCATGCCTCCTGATTGGCTACCATGCATACAGGGGGAGGAGCTTCGTGCTCCTTACTCACTCTGAGAGGAAGACAAGGGAGGGCTGGAGAGAGAGTGAGAGGCAGGAGGGGGAGTGGCTTGTGCAACTGACAGAGTGGGCGTGGCGCTCGGCACCGGCGCGCCTTCGGAGGCGGCGGGAGCTGGCGGAGCCCTGCGGACGCCGCTTACCAGGTCTGTGAGCCGGGACACTGAGGATGGGTGGATGAAGAGATGACAGAAGGTGTAAAAGAGCACAGGAACAGATCAAAAGAACGAAAAATATCAACAAAAACAAACAAATAAAAACTTTTGTGTAAAAAAATGCCATCATCAGGAAATCGTTCTGATCATTTCTAAACTTCTGACTCCACTTGATGTCAAATTTAGCATCTCTTAACTGTATTAATGCCATTTTAATCAGCTTTACTTCATATTTCTTCATTTAAAACCGTTCTTAATCAAACGTCTGAGCTTCTTGCCTGAATCGGAGCAAAATAATCATTAAATTTAGTCGATAAGAAGCAGTTTTGACCCTGGAGGACCTTGTTTTGTGACTCTGGCCACCCCCACCCCCCCCATCACGCAGCATCAGAGGCGAGGCAGATGCCGTCTGATTGAATAAAACTCTCGTTTAGAGGTCATCTATTGTTCTGCCTGTTTGTGCTCTAGCCAACTTACTCTGCATGGGGACGGCGGGGGGGTGTGCAGGGCAGGGGGCGGGAGGCGGAGTGCTGGATCTCCCTTCTCCGTCGGGAACGGGCCCAGAGCCCCGACGCACCGAGCCCAGCAGGTCTGTAAACTTTGCAGCAGCTGAATTCAGGGAGGAGGGGGACATTTAGACGGGAGGGTGCGCACAACGCCGAGGAAGCACTCGGATCAGCGGGCCAACAAGCGAGGAGCGATAGAGAAGGTTACTGAGGGTCAAATTAGAGCTTTCAACCAAACCTCGGTTCAACATTCACGCTTCAAAATGTCAGAAATAGCAACACAGATCAGGATGTTGCTGTTTCATGTTAGCCCATAAGAGAGAGACGACGTGTTAACAAGATCACACAGTTAGGAGGCGCTAGATTTAGGGTTTAAATCATTTAAAGCATTTATGTGAATAGTTTCTTACTCTGTAAAAGTCAAATCTCAGACATGCAGCTCACTCCGACTCTGCATGGAGTCAGGGTACCCCGGGGATTTGGCGGCGCTAGGTAGCAGCAGATGTGTGCTTTTAATACCGTGCAAGGACAAGGACTGAATGGAAAACACACACCGAGCGGTTTAGTCAACAGCGAGCAGTGGATCTGGTGGTTCCGGGGGCGTTTGGCCGGCCGTGCTGACTTACAGTGGACAGCTGCTGAGGAGCTGTCGGGCTGGGAGCTGGTGCTGGACTGACCCTTAAGCGAGTTGTCTACGCTCTTTCCTGACCACACACACACACACACAGAGATGAGACATGAGAATGGGACGACAATACCAAGAGAGGACATAGCCAGGAATGTGAGCGGAACAAGGAAATGGGATGAAACGGTGGGAAACGGTTGAGTTGGATTGACGGACCATCCCTAAAACCCAAATCCAACTAAATGACTTCAGGATCCACAAATAAAGCAGAAACTTGTGCTGGAAAGAAAAGATACCGCCAACAGACGAGCGCACACCCCCTAAAAGCCAGAGCGAGGCAGGGTTACCGACCAGCTGTCCAGCACCAACCTGACCAGATCCCACAAAGAGCAGCGAGACACGAACACGTGCCCCCCCCCCCGCACTCACCTGGCTTCTGGAGTTCTCTCTGCACCGTCGCCCTCTTTGAATCTTAAGACACATAGACCTGCTGCGTGAGATGAAAACCATCCAGGGGTGGCGCTAGCAGAGCGGCGTGTATTCACTCTATCACCTCCCTGGGCAGCTCGTCTCTGCTTTCTGCCACCGGGGTTAAATTTAGGCCTCCCCTTTTAGTGCCGACTCCCACGCCAAGACTCCCCCTCCCGCCCTGCTCCTGCCAGAGGGGAGTGGTGGCGGAGCAGAGGGTGGTCAAAATTTTTATTCTAGTAATTGTCTGTTTCCAGATTTCCATGCGTTGCCTTGCATAAACACCGATGCATTACTAAACACTAGCATCAGGAAGAGCTGCTCTCCGTGTGTGCTTCAGCCCTTCTTCATCTTCTTGACCCGACAAACGACACACTTAACGTTTAAACTCTGTCTGTCTGTAGAATAATGAGCCTTTTGTAGCTTCAACGTTTATTTCTGCAGCTAATTTGCACCTTTTCTTCTTTTTGTAGCACTTTCGGCGACCCTGTTGATTTATTCAACAAGCTGTTTAATTATCTGGTCGCTCCATCTGAAACGCCTAATAAGCTTCTATTTAGACCAGTTTTAATAAAGCTTACTGGGAACTCTGTAGCCTTTATGCAAAGGTCATAGGTCAAACTCGTAAACAAAAATCACAGAAAGGTCTCCACGTTTGGCAACCATCTCGCCATCTCAAGAGTTAACGTGTCTTCAAACAAGAGGAAGATCTTCCCACATCCTGCAGACTAGGACTCCATCACCTCATCACATCACCCCCATCCTGGAACAACTTCATTGGCTGCCCATCACATTCAAAGCTCTCCATAACCTGGATCCATCCTACATTTCTCATCTCATTCACATCACCACTCCTGTCCGCGCTCTTCGTTCCTCTACTGCTCCTCAACTCTCGGCTCCCCCGCTCGCCTCGTCACCACGGGGAGCAGAGCATTCAGCCGCTCTGCTCCCCACCTCTGGAATTCTCTTGCCCCGCTCACTCTCTCGCACGTTTTAAATCAAAACTCAAAACCTACCTGTTTACCACATAGTTTTAAATGTTAGCATCCTCGTGTTTTGATATATTTCTGTACGGTTCAACTTGCTTTATTATTTTTTCCCCATGTGTCCTTGGGTGTCCTGAAAGGCGCTGTCAAATAAAATGTATTATTATTATGATTAAAAGGTCTGCGATGCATCTGCGGCGGCTGCTAGGAGTAAAGACCTCTGTGAGGCGGCGGAGGAGACAGGATGTTCTGCGTTCTCGGCACTGCAGAGATGCATTGGTGACCCCATTTAGACACAGTGCTCGGCTGAGATGTGAAGAAAGAGGGGCGTTCGACTGCGCCGGCGTGGATGAATGGAGGCTGAACCTCACAAGACGATAAGAAAAAATGAGTCGGAACAAAAGAGCGAGGGGAAGTTTTCTGCATGGCAGCGGCTAACGAGCACCCCTCAGACACGCGTGCTGGTTTTCCTGGGTAACAAGCACTTTCTGAGGAGGAAAGCCGCGACGGCGTTCGGAGACTTCACCTCTCAGAGACACAATCACACAGGCAGTGCATCCGGACTCCACAGGGGGTCAGTAAAAGGTTAACGAACTCAAACTTCATCTGCAGAGCAGTTCTGCAGGATTTTTCTGTCTGTTTACACAGAAATGAAACAAACAGGAAGCTTTTTATTTCGTTTAAAACCGACTGCACATGTTCAATGAATATAACTGCGTTAGAGGAGACGCCATGACGCATTTCTGCCCTGAGGCTCAGAAACAACAGAAGCTGTGGCAAAACCATAACTGCTATCTGATCACAGGAACAGAACAGCTTTTACACCACTTTTAAGCCTTTTGTTGTTCTTCGTGATGCTTTTAGTGTTTGCACTTACACGAGTTGGCCGCAGCACCAAAACAGTTCGGTTCGAGCGCCAAGTCGTGGCTCCAAACGCATAAATACCCCGTTTTCAGCCACCGCGGCAGAACAACACGGCCGCCCACAGCTCTGAAAATGGCCACTTTGAAAACCCTTTTGTGATTGTGCAGTCTCACCTTTCACGTCCTCGTCCTCCACGGTGGTGTTGCTGCTGTCCGACGACTCCTGGGGAAACAAGAGGCGGACGGTCAGGCTGTGTTGGATCACGGCAGAACTCAGGGAAAAATGCAGCAGGATACACATAAAACGAGCTTTCACAAATGGGGCAGAGACGTTTTACTCCTACAGGCAGAAGAAGGGCCAGCAGTGGGTACAGCTTACATTCCCATGTGGCATCTTCACCCGAGAACATTTCTTACATCGAGTCCAAACTCGTGTGGGATGATCTCACAAGCACACGCCAAAATCAGAGCTTTGGGCAAACATCAGTTAAAAACATACAGGGTATCTGCAGGTTTAAGGGAGCCAGATTTAAGACTTTTTAAGACTTTTTAAGGCCACTTTGACCAAATTTAAGCTATTTTTTAAAATTTCATTTAAGCTATAATTTCCAGCTATTGCCTGAAACTGGTGCTAACCACGTCACGAACGTGGGATTAGCCATCCGGTTACCATTAAACTTGCACTTCCCCATGGTACAAGCTCCCACTAGCTTAACCAGCTAATGTGCTCATCTAAAAATAGCCCCCTTTCACAACCAACTGAATGTGTACGGTTCCGCTTACGCAAATATGATGCACATAAAACGCTGAACACTAACTAGAAATTCACGAAAATTTTATAGAAATAAAAATATCTTGTTTATTGGGTATTTGGTCATTTAAGACCTTTGGAAACTGTATTTAAGGATTATTTGTCATTTTTAAGGATTTTTAAGGCCTTAAATTTGGAAAAGCTAATTTAAGACTTTTTAAGGACCCGCGGATACCCTGGACATACCGCCACACCACACCGTCCCAAGTCTATTTTCGACTTTTCTCTTCTCATCAAGACCAAACTCACAAAGGCTCAGCGTGTGCATCTAATAAGGGCCCTCGTCTCCCGCCTCCTCAACCGGAGGAGCTTCTCCTCCCATCACAGAAAACAGAAGAGAAGCCGCTCATTCGGTTATATTTATCCACCCGTCTGTCTGCCGGCACGTCTCTCTCTTTGAAAGCATTCGCCAGAGGAGTTTCTGATTTCCAATTAGCAGATTAAATGGGTCTACATTCCCCTGCACATACAGGGGCGTTGAGACGGCCTGATTAGAGGTGTGCACGTGCACCGACAGCATCACGAGCACGTAAGTGGTTTTTATAGCCTGTAAAAGAGCAGCCGGTGGCCTGAGAAGAGGAGAGGAAAAGGCTGAAACGTCTGCGGCTCACGACGTTTTAAATCCTCCTGAAATGCTCGGATATGCCGACTGAATTTCAAACGCAACCTCAACATTTACCTTTTGTTCAAATCACAACTTTATTAAAACACAAAGACGTCTTAGGACGCTTAATTGTGTCGAGGAAGAAAAGCTTTAATGCACACTCGTGCAGTTTTGTGCATCTTGTGTACAGATTCAAGTAGAGAATGGCAAAAGCTGATATAAACCGTTTTAACTCAACAAATGCGCCTGCAGAAACTCGGCTCATCTTTAAACGGTGTCCCAGAACTGTAGGACGTGCAAATTAGGACTCAAAGAACCAACCGATCCAAAGAAAACACACGCACGCACGCACACACACACGTATATAAACAGTCAATGCAAAGGTGCACTCACAAATGCATGTTAAAAAAAGGACAGGAGAAGATAAGGAAGAGGAGAATGACAAAGAAGGATGAGGAGCAGGCTCAGGACTGGGGGATGAAGAATACCTTAGTCCCGTCCGCTGGATTATGGATGACAGTTGTCTGAGGCTCCTGGAGGAAGAGGAGGGGAGTTGGAAGAAGATGGAGTAAAAGTAAGACAGGAAGGGAAAAGGAAGAGAGCAGAATTTGACATAAACGTAGGAAGAAATGGGACAAAATTCCAAAAGAAAAAGAAGACAAAGAGAAACATGAATGTTGGATGAATAGAAAGTGCTTGTAAAGGAGGAAAGGACCCCCTCCCCGGCCCCAACACCAGGACCTTAAGAGTGGGCGGATGAGCGGAAAACCATCATTTAGAATCCGGATAACAGAAACGACGCCACGATTCCTACCGAAGCGTCTACGGCGAGCACGTCGCACCATCTGGTTACCATCCCGTCACGGATATGAACCACTTACACTAACGCCTGACTAAAAACACATCTCCAACAGTACAAACAGTCCCGCACAACATGAATAACAAAAACACTCATTCTCATCTAATATTTAGAGAGACTGCACACTGCACTAAATGTTGTGGCGTTTTACTTTTTTATCCATCTGAATTTTAATTCATCTTGACTTTTTGCTGCAGAGAATCAATCTTTTATTTCCGAGCCAGCCGTCTATGCGTGCAGCATTCTGAAACTCTACATCTTAAATGAAGCAAATGTGCATGAATCATGTGCTGTGAAAAATATCACAGAACCAAACCAAAGAGACGGATCAGCCAACCCATGCACTGTGAATAAATTGTGCTGTGACATAGATCAACACGAGGCTCGACGTCTTGAGAGGCGCTGAATCACCAGAGGCCAGCGTCGCTTCTGGATTCCTTCTGAAGACATCAGAATAATCTGAGGGCCGTCTGCAGGGTGGCGACCCTTTCATGGAGCCAGGTCGTCTCTGGTTTTCTGTTCGGCACACACCAGCCCCGTAAAGAGCCGTCTCTCATCCTGCTTCACACATTCTTCTATCTTCTTCGGCTCTTCTGAAGAGACCATCTTGTACCGTTAGCGGCTCCCTCCAACACCAGCACTTGACTGTCGTGTTCTTATTAACGTTCTCTTCTTTCTACGGCAGGCTCCGGCTGCTGATGACTCGCTCATCTTGTTCTTCAGCTGTATGCAGACTTCACTGTAAATCAGGACCCATCGGCGGCCGCCGTATCCTCTGCGCCACTTGTCTCCCCCCCCCCCCACCCCCCAGGAAGCGACACCTCTGTGATGACCAATCATTAGCTGTCTCTCTTGGTGATGCTCCTGGCGTCGTCAAGGCAACCGTCTCCCAGGGACGTACGCACTGATGGCAACTTGGAAGATGATGATGATGTGAGAAAACAAAGTACCTGGGGTTTGCACATCAGGAGGGTGTGAATGCCGATGGCGGGATGTCATCATCATCATCATCATCATCATCATGTGGTGTTTACTGCTGACGTCATGTCGGTGCAATTCAACCACGTTGTTTTATTCAGGCAGAAGTTCACCTGAGAGCACAGAACCGGTTTGATCCTACTCACGCACGGGGATATTTGCACGTTCCTCCACCCGACCCGGCCGCCCCCTCCCCCACTCTGAAATGAAGGGGTGACTTTACCAAATGAACACTAACTAGCTCCGAACGGAGATCAGAGACCCCCCCCCCCCCCCCCGCACACACACACACACACACCCACTCTCCCTCCTCTTGGAGGATCAGAGAGAAAAACTCATCTGCTCTCAGCTTCAGTGGAGCAGAAATGTGACCCGCCCTTTAACGCCTAAAACAACTCAGCATAGAAGTTAAATGCAGTGCAAAAGTTGACCACACACACACACACACACACACACACACACACACTCGTATGGCTGCACACGATGCACTCGGAGTCATCGGACTAGAAGACATTAAAGATTATTTTTACATGCTCAGCTGTGTTACATGTCACAGCCGATGAGATCATGAGAGCAGCATCTGGAACTCTGACTCCATGATGGAAGCGCGGCCGCTGGCCCGAGTTTATAAACCCAAATGATACCGTACAACGGAACCGAACCAGCTAAAACCAGCCTTATGATTGGGTCTTTCCCTACATATGGCTCACTTTATGGTTTTTCAACACTTTAATTTGACGTTACGCTAATTTTTCCACAAAATAACTTCTAGAATAACTTTTTTGATCAATAAAAGTCAAATAAAGTATTTATTTTGTGGAGGTGGTTATTTATCGTTTTATTCCCACTAGTTGTGGGAGTTAGAATTTCACAAGATTTTCCATAAAATTTTTCATATAAATGACGAATAATTGACTATTTTATTAATGACGGCTGTTACGTGCAAAGTGCTTTTGCTGGCAGTTTCTACGACGGTTTTCTTTTCCAGGTTCAAGTGGCCTGCTACACTGAGGTGAGCCTTCCCTTTTTGTCAGTGATTGGCTGCTGTGTACCTGGTTGCCCAATCAGCTGTAGAGCCTGCCTTTAAACAGCCTACACCTGGTGGAAACGGCAGCCATTTTGTTCTGATCCTGCCTTTGAGCCCAGAGCTTGTTTGTCCCTGTTCTTTAGTGTAAAGTTGAAGCTGAAGTCCTTTTAAAGCTGGCTACCAGGTATGTGGTGGGAAGGTTGTGGACCAGGCAAGATGGGGCACCCTGTACATCTGCACACGTAGTATCTGGATGTCTAAAAACACTAGGTAAGCGTGGGTAGTACCTCCCTTGTACTGGTTTTTGAACACCATTTTGTAGATGAGTAAGTTAGGAGTTTCTTTCTCTTTTTTTCTCAAGGTTAAGAGTTTAGTTAGGGTGTGTTTTGTTTTATTTATTTCATTTATTTGGTCAACCCACAGGTCCCTTCTTTTCCCCCACATTTCTTTTTTTTATATACACAACCTTCAGCAAATAAACTTTTTGCTCTGTAGCAGACCGGCCTCCTCCATTATTGTGACCGTCATGTTGCTTCCCCTATACCCTAGACTGGGGGGCATGTAACAACGGCTAAATTCTCTCCTGTCTTAGCTTCCCTACATTGGCTGCCTGTCAAAATTCAGAATAGATTTTAAGATCCTTCTTCTCACATATAAAGCTCTTAATAATCAAGCTCCATCATACATCAGTGATCTGATTGTTCCATACGTTCCTAACCGAGCACTTCGCTCTCAGACTGCAGGTCTACTGGTGGTTCCAAGAATATCTAAACTTAGGATGGGAGGCAGATCTTTTAGTTATCAGGCTCCTCTCTTGTGGAACCAGCTCCCAGCTTTAGTCCGTGAGGCAGACACTTTGTCTACTTTAAAGAATAGGCTTAAAACATTTTTATTTGATAGGGCCTATGGTTAAAATCTGATGTTAGCCTAAATCTGGACAAGTGGGGGAGTAGAGGGAGGTGGAGTGTACAGTCGGTAAAGATGGCTCTCCCTTGCCCTGCCTCCAACATGCCTACATCTAAATAGGATAGATTATCCAGAGTTATCTCTGTAGTTATGCTGCTATAGGCTTAGACTGCTGGAGGATACACTGACCACTTTTCACACTCTACTGCTTTCTTCTACAATCTGCTCTTTAACTGTATTATTTCCTGCTATTTCAGCTGTTAACTTTATTTTCTCTCTAAGTGTTTTTCTCCCCAGAAGAAGCTACAACGATGTTCTGCTGAGCTGTGGTGGCCTCATGGAGGGGGCCATCGTCTAGCACACTGCTGCTAACCACTAAAACATTCTCCCTCTCCTGATAACATTTTAGGGTAAATACAATAAAGTTTATCTCTCACCAAATGGAATATTTACTAAGAAATCACAATGTAGCCATAGACACACTACTTAGTATATATGTTGTGTGTGTGAATGTGTGACTGTATGTGGGTGTGTTAGGTTTAGGGTTTTAACAGATTTGTTCCTGTTAAAAGGGAGTTTTCCCCTCTACTGTCGCTGCATGCTTGCCTAAAATGAGGATTGCTGTAAAGACTCTGACTCTAGTCAGTGACTCGATGCAACCTGCTGGGTTCCTTTGGGAAACTGTTTACTGATTGGCTTAATGAACTGACCTGTATTGGGATGTTTACTGTGTGAAGGTCCTTGGGATGACTCTTGTTGTGATTTGGCGCCTTATAAATAAACTTGAATTGAATTGAATGTTAATTTTAAGTCATTTTAAGGATTGTAAAAACTTTTGGGAGTTTTTAACAATCCTGTGAAAACGTTTTATGCAGGTGTGAAAAAAGCTGTAAACAAAGACAGAAATACTGTTTATTTTTATTGATTTACAGAATGTAAAGCGAGTGATACCAAACATCTAGCCAAAGTAGCTCAGAACCATCTTCAGCGTAAAGAAGAAAAGGCTCCAGGGAATGATGGTGGGGCCCACACAGGGCCCTGATCTCAGCATCATGGAGTGTGTCTGGGATAAGAGACAGAAGGATGCAAGGAAGCCCTAGCCTAGTGAACTAGACCAAATTCTTGCTTTTCATTACCAAAAGCTGTTGCTAAATACAATAATCCATTCACTGCTGGTGCTGTATGAGAACAAGAAATTGAACACTTTTAGATAATACATTTATTTAGTCTGGCTTGCCAGGCTAAGGAAGCCCCAAACCACAGAAGATCTGCGGTTGCTTCTCCCAGTCTGGAACAACCTACCAGCCCAGTTCCTTCCACAGCTGTGTTCAAGTGGAGCTAGAAGATCCAACTCTGTTTTGGAGGTGAGGTGGTCACACCAGATATGGATTTGATTTATCTTTTATATTTTCACAACTCCTTGATGATTGATGATTAACACTTCCATCTTTGAAAGCATTCTTTGTTTACAGCCTTTTTCCTTACCTGCCTAAAACTTGTGCACAGTTCTGTATACAGTAGTTGAGTTAGTAGCAGGATCTGATCTTTTATGGCTTGGACTAAATCCAGGACCTTGTTGAAATTGAGGTTTTTAAAATGATTTGTATTGTTTCCTGTGATAAGTGAGTCTCCAGTTGTTGCTACAGGTTAATACATCTAAAGGATCACTAATAAAAAATCATGTTTTTAACCCACAAACCTAAAAGTTTCCATCCCCATCTATCAGCCTTCATGGATTTTAAGAGCTTTTAGGTCTGAGTCACACAACGGGGACGGGGGATGTTGCATGAGGGAGAGGGTAAATCACGCCGGTACCTGTTCTGTTTCATGTGCCATTCCCTTCTGTACCAGGTCAGCCCAGTCCGGATAGCTCCAGTCGGCCCCAGCCTGGCCCGGTTGATGCCACACATCCTTGCTTAGTTATGCAAGGAATGCAGTCAGAGACATTTTCAGCTTCTAGGTAATCAGCATGATGATGAACGGTAATGAATTGAGCATGCCTGTGGGCTGATTCTACCCACCAATCAGAGGCTTGCTCTAATGGAAGGTGTGAATTTGCTGACCGATAAGCCGGCTTATCAGTCAGCAGTGGATGTGTTGGCCCTGGTCAGCCTCGTTGCACCCTGAAAAACGGCAGGCCACCAAGATATGTAAGCAAGCTGCGCTATCCGGGCCGGGCCGACCAGGTTCAGATGGGAATGGCCCGTTAGAGAGCTTACAAGGAAAACGACACGGCAGCAGAACTTTAACCTGGGTGGGACCCGTGTAGCATCTCCCACCTGCTAGGAGGGAAAACGTCTCCCGACACTACCGGCTGACTCAAGCCCTACCCGACCGCTGCCGTCCGGCGAAGACGGGAACCGGCAGACGGACAGAGGAGAAAAACAGACATAGGTAGAAGGACAGAGGAGCAGGGTGGGTTGTTTTAGGGAGAGACACACACACACAAACACACACACACATGGGTGAAGAGGGGGGGTTAGGAGGTAAATACCAGAGCAGGTGAAGGGACGTTTCCTTTGGGGCTGGTGACTATGCTGTTTTTGGTGCTGTTTGTCTGGGGCTGTGCAGGAAAAGGAAAGGAAAAGGGGGGGGGACACAACAAGAGTGTTAACAACAGCAAGAGTGTGTGTCGGTCCATGCTTGTGTGTTTTCTTTCAACCACTTTGTTATTGTGTGGGGTGGGGGGGACACTGTGTGACATCACATCCTCGTCGCCAGGGATGGATCACACACAGCATCCGTTCACTTGTGCTTTTTGGCCTCCATAAAAAGCTCGTTTGAAGACGACATCAAAGAGCGGTCGCTAACGAACGCTTCAAAACCTACATTCAGTCGACATCGCTGAGCGGGGCAGAACTCGGCGTGGAAGTGAATCATCAAAGGGAGTCACTTTAGAAGTCTTTTAGCGCTACATAAAAACAAGTCATCGGGTTAAGGTCAGGAAAGGTCGCTCGTTACTCATGCCTTCAAATAGTGTGATGGCTCCTGTTTGAGGGGGGAATATTTATAAAGAGGTGAAAAAAATCCCCCAAACTGAACTCGTTAACTACGATCTCAGATTCGTATCACCCAACCTAAGGCCCGATTCACACGGTAAGGTACTGATGTGGATCTTTGACCAAATCATTCTCTTCCAACAGTCTTATGGAGGCGCTCGATTATCGCAGTGGCTCTAGAAATAATCCTGCAGTGTGTGGTGTATTGAGAGCGCTCGGGTCTGCTCAGAAAGAAGTCGGGATCGCTACGATGAAGAATTGAGGCCATTGAACACGTTGGGTGGTCTTGCCCCGATTTCGAAGACTAATGAGCGTGACATGTATCCAATCAGAGCGCGAGGTGACTGAAGTGTGCTACACTCTCTTCCTCCGCGTGTTTTACTCCGAACTCACACTGATCTGGTGTGAGATTCCTATTTCCTCGTCTATCCGCTGAGCGTTCGTGTGTGAAATCTGTTGGTGTGTAGTTTTAGCCGTGTGGCCACACCACGCACACACATTGGGACCAAAGCTGGCACAACCATGAGTTTTATCACCACGTGTGTGGTCTAGGAAGTACGGTTTAGCCATAAGGACACATTTATTAACAAGTGGTCTTGTTCAGGATGGTGGGGTGGAGAAGGACATCCAGGCACAAATAAGCCACAAATTAAAACACAAACCACCAAAGAGCCATGAATGAATAAAAGCTCACACGTTCACAAACTCACACACAACACCCCCATTTTTAGACACGTTCACAAACTCACACACAACACCCCCATTTTTAGACACGTTCACAAACTCACACACAACACCCCCATTTTTAGACACGTTCACAAACTCACACACAACACCCCCATTTTTAGACACGTTCACAAACTCACACACAACACCCCCATTTTTAGACACGTTCACAAACACACACACAACACCCCCATTTTTAGACACGTTCACAAACTCACACACAACACCCCCATTTTTAGACACGTTCACAAACTCACACACAACACCCCCATTTTTAGACACGTTCACAAACACACACACAACACCCCCATTTTTAGACACGTTCACAAACACACACACAACACCCCCATTTTTAGACACGTTCACAAACTCACACACAACACCCCCATTTTTAGACATTCAACCAAGAAAACTGGTCAAAATTCCTTGTTGGAGAAATAATTAGCGGATTAAATCGGACCCGGACTCTTCCTTCATATCTTGCAAGAAAACATCTTGAATAAACTTCTTGAGGACATAAAACTGGTCAGAAACAATAAAAGCCATACAGCGATCACAAATCCCGGGCTGGATGGGAGATGAAAGGAGGTCCATAGGGTCGAGTACGCTTTCAGATCACTTGTGTTAGGTTCAAAGAGGTTCTGGAAGACACATTTATAACTGAACTCAGGAGTAATTACTCAGATTTGAGCCTAATTCTGAATTAGGAGGACAACAGTTTTCATAGAGCAACAGCTCTGAGTAGAACTGTAATGTCACTTCCAACATATGTCAGATTTATTATGAGAAATGGCACCAAATCTGTTTCAGAAGCAGCTTCAGAGTTCTGGTAGTTCATGATGTTTCAAACGCTGCTGCAGTGTCACCTAAACGCTGCAGAACCAAACAGCAGTGGGCAGATTGGGTGAAGTAAAGGAGTGCTGACGGCAGGTAACAAACAGATTGAAGGTGAAGGAAAGACGAATGGAGCAAACGAGAGCTAAAAGCGGGATCATGGAGGGGGTGAACGCGTAGTTAGCATGCTCACCATGTACTGGACAGTCGAGCTGGACTTGCGTTTCTGTCCTCGGGAAATCGTTGAGATGGATTTATGGATGGATGTGAAGATGAGAGGAGGATGAGGAGTTGGGAGAAAATAAGACAACCAGTGATGAACATGACCGAGCTGACACAAAAACAAAAACGTCACTTTGATGATGATGATTTTTGTTCTCAGGAGACAGAAAAGATTCCCAGAGAGCAGAACGTGCCAGGTTTCATAGATGGGAAGCTGGGGTGTGTGGATGCTGCGCTGAAGAGAACGTGATCAGGGAGCAGAAAATTTAAAACCAACTTCACTTTTAAATTACTGAAAGAAAAAAAGAAGCAAGAAAACTTTAAATTAGGAGATTTGTATTCAGTCAGGAAGCTCGCGTTTATTAAATTACATTTGAGATTTAACACAATAACATGCTTTTGTTCTTTTTAAACACCGACGGCGAAACTGTAGCTACAAAACAGGTAAACAAAACTGTTTCTGTGTTTAAAAAGAACAGAAGCATGGAATTAGAACCACGACACAGCAAGAACACTAGTACTTTTGATGTAAATTATTACTCATTATTTCAAGAGTTTCTAAAAGTAGAATAAGAGGAAGAGCTTTAAGTTCTCTGGCCTTTCTCTGGAAGAAACAGCTTTTAGGGTTAGTTTGGGTGATCCAGACTCATCCCTTTAGTTATGCTGCTATAGGCTTAGACTGCCAGAGGACATACTACATTTCCTCCCTCTGCTGGTTGTACTGGAGTTTTCCTTCCCACTGTCACCCTGTGCTTTGCTCAGGATGGGAAACTGCATTAAATATAGACTCAAACCTTTATAAAAGGATACATTTGACTAACAGGCATTTAACGCTCTATTAAATCTGATCTTATTAAACTAAACTGAAGGCCTTGCATACGTCTGGCTTAAATTTGGACCTGAAACGATTGGGACTTGTTGCACTGTAGTGCCGAGTTGTGAGCTTTACAAAAAACTAAACTGGATTATGTTCAGTTCATATCTGCTGCAGTGTTTTGTTTTGGATTTTCTGATTGTTACACTCATGCCAAAGTATGTCAGACATATTGGTAAATATGAAAAGAGCGTATCAGAAGTGTCAGCGCTTCATGAAATGCTGAATGAGGGGCTTTTGATGGGGGTAGCCGTCAGCACAGGGGGCTAAAGATGGTGGGTGATAGTGCCAGGGCCTGCACAGGGCGGGTGCTACAGCTGAAAGGCATCAGGCGCCGTCGCGCATTGATGATCCGGCAGGGAAAGATGGAGAAAGAAGACGGGAAGGTGACAGGAGGAGGTCGGAGCAACGAGCCACAAGGAGGGAGGAAGCAGATTCAAGAGCAGGGGACATCAGCAAATGAAGAGAACGGCTTTGGAAACGCTTTGGGGCGAGTGTGTGGGGAGCCTGTTGCTAGGCGATGAGCGCGCCACAAGGGAAGCAACCGTCTATTTCTGTCGTCTGAGTTTCTAGGGTCCAGACTGGCAGCTATTCCTGGAATTGGAGTCACATTCCCTGTTGAACCGAATGAGCAGGGAGGCAGAGGAGCACGGGGGTGCACACACACACACACACACACCCGAGCTCACACACGCACACACACACACACACACACACACACACACACACACCCGAGCTCACACACACACACACACACACGCACACACACACACACACACCCGAGCTCACACACACGCACACACACACACACCCGAGCTCACACACACGCACACACATGCACACACACACACGCACACACACCCACACACAAACACCCGAGCTCACACACACACACACACACACACGCACACACACACACGCACGCACGAACACCCGAGCTCACACACACACACACACACACACACACACACGCACGAACACCCCAGCTCACACACACACACGCACGCACACACACGAACACCCGAGCTCACACACACACGAACACCCGAGCTCACACACACACGCGCGCACACACACACACACGAACACCCGAGCTCACACACACACACACACACACACACACACACACACACACCCGAGCTCACACACACGCGCACACACACACACACACACACACACACACACACACGAACACCAGAGCTCACACACACCACACATGATGGCACTCTCACACCAGCATTTGTACTTTCAGGCTTTTGTTAAACCTGACAAATGTTTATTGAGGCACACACACACACACACACACGCACGCACGCACGCACGCACACACACACACACACACACACACACACACACACACACACACACATGTGCACACAGCTCTATACAACATAATGCACACCTCTGAACAGTATGTTCCACGCTTTGCAGCTCACTACCATGCATGCGTTGCTGGAAGCGGCGTGTGGGATGTGTTACTGCAGCGTGTCGGTGTGAGCGTGGGATGGAGAGAGATCTTCATTAAAGGGTGAGCAGGAATGTGGGGTTAAAGAGCAGATGGCGTGAGGAGGGAACGGGAAGCACTGACAGAGGAGGAAGGGGTTTGAGATGAAGAGGAAGTGATGAAATGAGAGCTGACAGATGGCAGAGAGGTGGCGACGAGCCGAATAACGCCAGACTTAAACAATGGGTGCTTTCAGGAGGATGTACTACTCCAGACTAGCAGAAACACAAACTGAGCACAGACGGATGTCCAGAGATGTGCATCCAAATGTAGGCTGGTATTTATTTAGCCATTGTTCAGATGCACCCAGTCCGAGAACAAAACGAAACATCGAAGCACAAAGACGCAAAGAGGAGGCAGAACACGAGGCTCTGGAAATAAAAGAGTGGATTATTCTTACCTTCACATCTGCCTTTTTGTTGAGCAAGGTCTTGGCTGCTGCACAGGCAAACACAGGCAATAAAACACTTGAGTGGATTTTCTTTTTTACAACTTTAACCCACATTGAAGTCTGCAGATTACATCCATTCGACTTTCTAGAGTTTTTGGTTGACCTTTGTCGTAACGCTCCCTTTCCTTCTTTAGTGGAAGGTAATGATTAAATAAGGTGGCCTGAGGCAGCCAGAGAAGGGCACCTTAACATCTTACTCTAACAGCAAAGAGACTCCCACCTCCGTTCATCTGCACAGTTTGAGCAAATGACTCCTTTACCAGTCGTCCAACTCGCCTTGATCCCGCTGCCCTCCAAACAGGAAGTAAACTAATTATGCTGCACTTCCGCAGACAGAAATCGGATGGTGGAGCTTTAATTGGGAAATTGGAAAAACTACAGAAGTTTACCAAAGTATAGGAGAGGAAATTAACAAACAAAAAAAAAAAATTTGGGTGGCGTTTTAAGAACTGTATTTATCTTTCCCCGTGATGTTGTTGTCAGTGAAATAAAAGTTTTTATGGGTTAGTCCTCCCCAGACGTCCCCTCGGGTTCAAGAGAAAGCCCTAACAAACATGGCTACCACACGGCAGCCATGTAAACATATGGGCTGCATGGTGGCGCAGTGGTTAGCACTGTTGCCTCGCAGCATGAAGGTTGCAGGTTCGAAACTCGGCTCGGCTGCGGCCTTTCTGCGTGGAGTTGCGTGTTCTCCCCATGCATGCGTGGGTTTCCTCCGGGTACTCCGGTTCCCCCCACAGATCACAACATGCCCTACAGGTTATAAACTGTAAGTCGCTTTGGATAAAAGCGTCTGCTAAACAAATAAACATAAACATAAACCCAACAATAAGCCCTGCCTAGGAGTACTCTTTCCATTAGTTTCCAGTCTGCCTTCTAATGAAGACGAATAACAACACTGCAGACTTTCCCCGCTGATAAATATAAAACCAATAATCCATCACAACAATGGAAGCAGCAGGAAATGAACAGCAGACTATCTGAAAGGGGTTTTATCGCGATAAAGAGCTAAAGAGCAACTCGTAAGGTGGTCTGTCTGCTAACCCAGAGTAATGATGTCTACAGGTTTTACCAAGGAGAAAAGACACCAGTATTTAAAAGGTATTAACTCGTTTATTATGTTATCGAAGCCTAACGATATCTATATGTCAGGTTTACTAAAGAATACTGATTGCACGATGACGTTGGTAGCACTGTTGCCTCACAGCGAGAAGGTTAATTCAGTTCAGTTCAGTGTGTTTATATAAAGTCGTCTCAAGGCACTTAACCCTCCCACTGTCCTAACGGGGGTGACCCCGCGAGGAAAGTAGACCACTGAGCAGGGTTGATGGTTTATCCCTCGAGTCCACGTGGCAGGGGTGAGGAGTGAGCACCACCTCACCCCTGCCACGTGGACCTCAAGGGATAAACCATCAACCCTGCTCAGTGGTCTACTTTCCTCGCGGGGTCACCCATTAGGACAGTGGGAGGGTTAAAGCTTTATCAGTGCATTCAGTTCAGTTCATTGTTCCAGTAAGTTGCAGTTAACTCAGCAGATTGCATTGAGTCACTGACTTGTTGTGTAAGGGTTGGTTGATGCTTGACGCGTCCGCGAGGTCCGCACGGCTCCGCGCGGAAAAGTTGCGTCATTTTGCGTCATTTTAACAACCACGCCCCTCCACCGCGCCTCTGCACGGCCCAGAATTTCCTCAACGCGCACCTCGGAAAATTTCTAACCACGCGGACGGACGGACGCGGAAAAACATGGCGGACTGGCAAGATCTAGTATGGCAGAGGTTCGTAAATACAGACATTTGTATGATTCAGCTCTCAGAGATCACCGTGATCAACATGTTGTTAATAATTCTCGGAGAGAAATAGCTCGCACTGTCGGAAAAGACGAAGACGCTGTTAAAAATGCTGAAATCCCATGTTGTAAACAGTGATTTCTACTTCTACTATGGTGTAGTGTTGGATGCATGCTGTAGAGCTCCATGCTGCCCCCTACAGTTTGGGAGAATATTGGCTCACCGCAGAGACGAGCCGCATGAACCATAAACGCTGCGAGTTGTGAAGCGCGTTCCATCCGCGAGCCGCATCACCGCACGGAAAGTGAATGCGTCAAGCATGAACCAAGCTTCAGGCTTTACAGCCACCCCTTAGGTTGCAGGTTCAAATCCTGGCCAAGACCTTTCTGCATAGTTGGCATATTCTCCTGGTAGTCCGACTTCCTCCCACAGGCCCAAAACATGCATGTTAGGTTAATTTGAGACTCAAAATTGTCCGTAGGTGGGTGACTGGTTGTCTCTGATAGACTGGAGACCTGTTCAGGGTGTCTCCCGCCCCCACTCGATTCCTACTGGAGTTAGACACCAGCTTCCTGTGACCCTAATTGGGAATACGTGGAGCAGAAGATGAGCGAGTTATGATTGCTCCATTAATTTTTTAGCGAACAGTAAAGTTTCCTTGGAAATTCCTCATGAGGAGCCTTGGGAATAAAACTATTTGTGAAAAGTCCACTCTGCTCATGTAGGTCTGTTTCACGGTTCATGTTTTGTCTTGGAAAACCAGGGAAGGCGGAGGCGTTTTAAAAGACAGCATTCCATTTCTGCAGCTGTTTCTGTTACGTCAAACGGTTAAGATCAGAAAATCCTCATTCATTTCTTCTCAGTGACCTAGTGGTAGAGCGTCCGCCCTGGGACTGGGAGATCACGGTTCAAATCCCGGTTGGATCATACAAAGACTTTCTAAATGGAACCTCAGCTGTGAGAGGTTGGATTGGAGGGTAAACCAAGTAGTTCCCGAGTGCATCCACTGTTGCAGCTGACCGGGTCAAATGTGGAGATGTGGAGATTTCACCAGTGTGATGATGACGGGACTTCAATGGGCTCGACACACGGGAGGCGACATCGCCTCTCCTTCATTCATTTTCAACGAGACATGCGTGACAAAGCGATAATCGCGGGTCTCCCTCCTACTAAGAGAAACGTGAAAAACGTGCGTGTGAAATTTTGCGCTCGTGCACGTATCGTGCACAGGCGACCCAGCGATGCGATCTCAGAAAGTTGAAATATTTACAACTTTTCATCGCTGTCGCTCGGACGAGGACCAATCAACGGAGGTTTCATTCACTGACCAATGAGCGGACAGGATGCTCCGTACACCTCCGAGCAAACATGGAGGAGAAGTTGATACTTGCTGTGACGGATTTCCCAGAACTGTACATATTTCTACCAAAGAATATAGAGATGTTCACAAAAAGGCCGCAGCATGGGAAATTGTTGGTGCCAGAATTAACATATCAGGTAAGAGTACTTTACAACCAGGGTATCTGCAGGTTTAAGGGAGCCAAATTTAAGACTTTTTATGACCTTTTTTAAGGCCACTTTGACCAAATTTAAGCTCGTTGTCGTCTTCCTCCGCTTATCTGGGTCCGGGTCATGGGGGCAGCATACCAACTAGGGAGCACCAGACCGTGCTCTCCCCGGCCACCTCCACCAGTTCCTCCGGCAGGACCCCAAGGTGTTCCCGGACCAGATTGGAGATGTAACCTCTCCAACGTGTCCTGGGTCGACCTGTGAGCCTCCTGCCAGCAGGACATGCCCGAAACACCTCCCCAGGGAGGCGTCCAGGAGGCATCCTGACCAGATGCCCAAACCACCTCAACTGACTCCTTTCGATCCAGATCCAAATTTAAGCTATATTTTTAATTAAATTTAAGCTATAATTTCCAGCTATTGCCTGGAACCGGTGCTAACCACGTCGCGAACGTGGGATTAACCATCCATTTACCATTAAACTTGCACTTCTCCATGGCGCAAGCTCCCACTAGCTTAACCAGCTTAGTCCCCTTTCACAACCAACTGAATGTGTACGGTTCCGCTTATACCAACATCGTACACAAAAAATGCTGAAGACCAACTAGAAATTCACAAAAATGTCATAGAAATAAAATAATCTTGTTCATTGGGTCTTTGGTAATTTAAGACCTTTGGAAACTGTATTTAAGGATTATTTGTCATTTTTAAGGATTTTCAAGGCCTTAAATTTGGAAAAGGAAATTTAAGACTTTTTAAGACTTTTTAAGGACCCGCGGATACCCTGTACAACGTTTTTGTAAGTTTATCTAGTGCAGTCTGACACAGCCAATCAAAACAACGGAAGACTCGATTTCGCCATGGAACAGAACCTATCGATGGCTTTGCCGCTGGCCACGGATCGCCCCCTGTGTGTCAGATAATAAAAGCGACAGCGACAAATTTCGCTGGTCGTTTGTCGCCTCCCGTGTATCGAGCCCATTATCCAGCTGTGCCTTTCGTAAGAGCTCTTTGGTCCAGTCACACACCTCTGTGTGCGAACTCAACAAGTCTGCAAACACATTTTAATGCATCCCAAATAAGTCAAAGTTATGCCATTTCTACCCATCAATACGCATGCATCACTACTGATCTCTTCAGTATACTACAAAAGCATTTAAGAAGATTTTACTTCAAGCACAGAAAACGGTGTTGTCCTCTGGAAAACGAAGTCCGACTCGTTTTGCTGCAGTGCCGGTAGACCACAACGAACGACCTCTGACCCGCCAGTTAAACTTGTCTCTTCCTAACTTCCATAACTAAAATCCTCATTGGGAATCTTTCAGTGGATGAGTGCAATTTCAAGTCTAATCAGATGCAATCACATCAGCATCCAGCCACTTATATAAAAACTATTTATGGTAATCTGGGGTGTATTTTTCCTCCCTTTTCTGCCTCTCATCTTCCCTTTTTCCTCTCCCGCACTGAACATCCTGCTCCAGTTGGATTTACTCGTGTCCTTTTCCAAACGAGACACGTCTCAGTGAACACCAGCTCATCTTCAATAAGCAGTTCCACTGGACGGTTGTGTCGGAGACGGGAGTGAGCGTTCGAGCACGAGAGGACGCATTTCATCGTATCTGTGCATTCACACTTTAACAAAGGAATTCATTTAAAAAACAACACCAGGAAGAACGGGGCGTGCACAATATATCGCTGCCACTTTTTGCCCGAGCTTTTGTTTCTGCATCAGTGATTACGCTTTTCATATTTAGCAGGCCAGGGAGGAGCAAAAGGAAGAGAGGAATTAAGAGAATAACCCAAAAGGATGAGAGTGGCGTGATATGCACACGGTTTACTGTGAGCAGTTCCTCCTCAGACTCTGCTTGTTACAGAGCAGAAAGATAGCAGGGTCAAAGTAGGACCGCGTTTATTCTCTCACAGTCTCAGACGGCTTGGCAGAAAGGGCGAGGACATGGGAAGAGAGAGGGAAGAGTAAGAGGAGTGGAAGCAGAAAAGGACGGTTTTCTCACTGTGCTTCCCAAACATTTTTATTATTGTTTAAACCAAAGATGCAAACTAAAGGTAGCTTATAACTCTTATAGGGCGAAACCTGAAAGTTCACTGTAGAGTTACGTCAAACCGAAGGGGCGCTCCTTACCTTGCCACAAATTAGACATGAAGCGAGAGGAGAGAGGAAGAAGAGATTAAAACAAAAGTTTCACTGACAGAATCCACTAAAAATAGCAAGATGCATCACTGCAAGAACGGAGCGCGGCTGGGCTTGGGTCCACGCTAACAAACAGGAACAGATTTCGTACTGGAGGTAAGAGCTCAGATGCAGAACTTCCTGAATAAAAAAAAGTCCAGTTAACATTTAAATACTGGCTTCTACATGATAAAAGGCTCAGTTCAACTAGAAGGTGGTGTGAATCGGCAAAAAACGAGGCCTCCAGTATGCTAGTGAGGCTGATTTGGGGAGGCAGCCCACTATGAATATTTGATTGGAGGCTGAGGGACATAATGGAGCCCCAGTGGGGGACAGAAACAAGGACAGAGCTTGTGTCTCCTGCTCTCCTAAGACTGGTGGGTGTTTATGAGGTTCAGACCAGCTGTTATTTCTCTGGTATTTAACAGAACGCCTACAATTCAACACCAGTAGCATCTGTAGCGCACTAACTACATCTCTACCCAGAAGAAAGAAATCCAACCTGGAGTCCATCAGGTTCAGGGTCTGTGGTGGTCTTGTTGCAGTAGTTTTTGGTTTGGGGTCAACTAATGGCTAAGGGAGGTTAGCGAGGAGAAACAAGATGACCTCCATGATCTAGATCACAAGTCTGCTGCTTAAAGAGCAAGTCACCCCCAAATCAGCTTTTATGCTGATAAACTACATAAATGTGTGTCTAGTCGTGCTGCAGACACGTGTCGTCAATAATTTAGCACTTTATTGCATTTTAGTTAAAATTTAAATTTTCTGCCTAAAACTGTCAGTGTTGTGCCGTTGTCAGGTAAAATCTCTGCACTGCAGTTGAATTTAAATCTGCCATCGCTATTGGCTAAGAGGTACCCTAGAACGTTAGCTGGTACCATATGATGTCACAATGTCGTTGTGAGCCTGTGTGTGTGTGTGTATTTGTTAGTGGCTCCGCCCTCTCGGTCTGCTAGGCAACAGCATTTGTTGCATTTTTCAAACAGGAAGTGGGAGTGGAGTAATACTCTGGTAGGGGGTGACTTGCTCTTTAAGAGGCTGGAAACCCCAACCTGAAACTTCATTAAACAGTTTTAATTTGTAGGGACGTTTCCACCAGAGGCAGGGCTACACTTTTACGATTATAAAACTTTAAAGTACAAACTAGAACATAATTTTATTCCATAAATAAACGTTTTAGAAGTTTGACTCACATCCCACGTCTTTAAAGTTTATTCGTAAAAAGTCAACACCAGCCATGCTTGTTTTTTTATAGTTACATGACGCCCCATCATGCGACCTGCAAGGAAATATAACAAATCATCTTCAAAGAGGTTTTGACTCCATGTGGAAAAGCCCCGCCTCGCATCACTTGCAGTGTTCATCATGCATGAAAGGTCCCCTGAGTGGCAGCGCATGCACAGTCCAGTGCCCCATGCAGCATTCACCAACAGCTCTCGGGCAGCTCCATCCTTTACGGGGGGGAGTTTCCAGGGTCGTTGTCCCGACAGAGAAAAAGAAGGAGCAGAAAGAGGAGCGAGAGAAGAGTTTGAGATCGGGTGGTGTGATGGGAACACAGAAAGTCGGATGGACGGGGACGAACTGGGTGATATGGAGGACAATAGTTCTGAAAGGTAGACGTGTACGTTGGTAAAGAGAATGGAAAAGTGGTTGTGGGATGGGCCAGATGAGTGAAGATAAGGAAACAGAGGGACAGGACAGGACAGCAGTCTGCCTGGGCCGAGGCCACGCTCTGCGACTGTGTCCACAGATGAAGATGGCAGGTTGATGACAGAGCAGTGATAGGCGCTGAAACCACGGAGGGAACAGGTGTGATGGCAGTAGTAGCTGGGCTTTCATCCTTTAGAGTCCTGCACTAAAGCATCAACTCACAAGGGACACACAGGAAGTAAAAAAAATCCAGCGTGATAAAGCGAGTGTAGCATTAGTAATGCATCTTATTGGATTCAGTTTTAACCACATAAATGTTTCCTAAGTAAAAAACTACACGTGCTCTCCTAATGGTGTGTTTAAACACTGCATATGCCAAGCAGGCTAGAAATCCCTGCAGAGATAGATGAAAACAAAGCTAATCCTGCATCTGATGGAAGATGAAGCTCACAGTGTGGTCAGCCATCATGCTCTGATGCTCCGGGAGGAGGAAAGGGCAGAGGTGAGAAATGAGAGGAAAGAGAAGAATAGGGGCCAACGTTTAAACCTCAAAGGAAAGGGCAGGGAGGGGGTGGCATGCCCTGGGTTAGCCACCATGCTACCTTGTTCCACCAGCCCTGCGGTGGTGCCGGCGGCTGCAGCCACTGCTGCCGCGGCCGCTGTCACA